AGTTGTTTGGTTCAGTTCTTTGGTTCAGTTCTTTGGTTCAGTTCTTTGGTTCAGTTCTCTGGTTCAGTTGTTTGGTTCAGTTCTTTGGTTCAGTTCTCTGGTTCAGTTCTTTGGTTCTGTTCTCTGCTTCAGTTCTTTGGTTCAGTTCTTTGGTTCAGTTCTCTGTTTCAGTTCTTTGTTCAGTTCTCTGGTTCAGTTCTTTGGTTCAGTTCTTTGGTTCAGTTCTCTGGTTCAGTTTCTTTGGTTCAGTTCTCTGGTTCAGTTCTTTGGTTCTGTTCTCTGCTTCAGTTCTTGGTTCAGTTCTCTGGTTCAGTTCTTTGGTTCTGTTCTCTGCTTCAGTTCTTTTCAGTTGTTTGGTTCAGTTCTTTGGTTCAGTTCTCTGGTTCAGTTCTTTGGTTCAGTTCTCTGGTTCAGTTCTTTGGTTCAGTTCTCTGGTTCAGTTCTTTGGTTCAGTTCTCTGGTTCAGTTCTTTGGTTCTGTGCTCTGGTTCAGTTCTTTGGTTCAGTTGTTTGGTTCAGTTGTTTGGTTCAGTTCTTTGGTTCAGTTGTTTGGTTCAGTTGTTTGGTTCAGTTGTTTGGTTCAGTTGTTTGGTTCAGTTCTTTGGTTCAGTTCTCTGTTCAGTTCTTGGTTCAGTTGTTTGGTTCAGTTCTTTGGTTCAGTTCTCTGGTTCAGTTCTCTGGTTCAGTTCTTTGGTTCAGTTCTCTGGTTCAGTTCTTTGGTTCAGTTCTTTGGTTCTGTTGTTTGGTTCAGTTCTTTGGTTCAGTTCTTTGGTTCAGTTGTTTGTTCAGTTCTTTGGTTCAGTTCTTTGGTTCAGTTCTCTGGTTCAGTTCTTTGGTTCTGTTCTCTGGTTCAGTTCTCTGGTTCAGTTCTTTGGTTCAGTTCTTTGGTTCAGTTGTTTGGTTCAGTTCTTGGTTCAGTTCTTTGGTTCAGTTCTCTGGTTCAGTTCTTTGGTTCTGTTCTCTGGTTCAGTTCTCTGGTTCAGTTCTTTGGTTCAGTTCTTTGGTTCAGTTGTTTGGTTCAGTTCTTTGGTTCAGTTCTCTGGTTCAGTTCTTTGGTTCAGTTCTTTGGTTCAGTTCTTTGGTTCAGTTGTTTGGTTCAGTTCTTTGGTTCAGTTCTCTGGTTCAGTTCTTTGGTTCTGTTCTCTGCTTCAGTTCTTTGGTTCAGTTCTCTGGTTCAGTTCTTTGGTTCAGTTCTCTGGTTCAGTTCTTTGGTTCAGTTCTCTGGTTCAGTTCTTTGGTTCAGTTCTTTGGTTCAGTTGTTTGGTTCAGTTGTTTGGTTCAGTTCTTTGGTTCAGTTCTCTGGTTCAGTTCTTTGGTTCAGTTGTTTGGTTCAGTTCTTTGGTTCAGTTCTTTGGTTCAGTTCTCTGGTTTCAGCTCTTTGGTTCAGTTCTTTGGTTCAGTACTTTGGTTCAGTTGTTTTGGTTCAGTTGTTGGTTCAGTTGTTTGGTTCAGTTCTCTGGTTCAGTTCTCTGGTCAGTTCTCTGGTTCAGTTCTTTGGTTCAGTTGTTGTTCAGTTCTTTGGTCAGTTCTTTGGTTCAGTTCTTTGGTTCAGTTCTCTGGTTCAGTTGTTTGGTCAGTTCTTTGGTTAGTTCTATGGTTCAGTTCTTTGGTTCTGTTCTCTGCTTCAGTCTTTGGTTCAGTTCTTGGTTCAGTTCTCTGTTTCAGTTCTTTGGTTCAGTTCTCTGGTTCAGTTCTTTGGTTCAGTCTTTGGTTCAGTTCTTGGTTCAGTTCTCTGGTTCAGTTCTTTGGTTCAGTTCTCTGGTTCAGTTCTTTGGTTCTGTTCTCTGCTTCAGTTCTTTGGTTCAGTTCTCTGGTTCAGTTCTTTGGTTCTGTTCTCTGCTTCAGTTCTTTGGTTCAGTTGTTTGGTTCAGTTCTTTGGTTCAGTTCTCTGGTTCAGTTCTTTGGTTCAGTTCTCTGGTTCAGTTCTTTGGTTCAGTTCTCTGGTTCAGTTCTTTGGTTCAGTTCTCTGGTTCAGTTCTTTGGTTCTGTTCTCTGCTTCAGTTGTTTGGTTCAGTTGTTTGGTTCAGTTCTTTGGTTCAGTTCTTTGGTTCAGTTGTTTGGTTCAGTTGTTTGGTTCAGTTGTTTGGTTCAGTTGTTTGGTTCAGTTCTTTGGTTCAGTTCTCTGGTTCAGTTCTTTGGTTCAGTTGTTTGGTTCAGTTCTTTGGTTCAGTTCTCTGGTTCAGTTCTCTGGTTCAGTTCTTTGGTTCAGTTCTCTGGTTCAGTTCTTTGGTTCAGTTCTTGGTTCTGTTGTTTGGTTCAGTTCTTTGGTTCAGTTCTTTGGTTCAGTTGTTTGGTTCAGTTCTTTGGTTCAGTCTTTGGTTCAGTTCTCTGGTTCAGTTCTTTGGTTCTGTTCTCTGGTTCAGTTCTTTGGTTCAGTTCTTTGGTTCAGTTCTCTGGTTCAGTTCTTTGGTTCAGTTCTCTGGTTCAGTTCTTTGGTTCTGTTCTCTGCTTCAGTTCTTTGGTTCAGTTCTCTGGTTCAGTTCTTTGGTTCTGTTCTCTGCTTCAGTTCTTTGGTTCAGTTGTTTGGTTCAGTTCTCTGGTTCAGTCTTTGGTCTGTTCTCTGCTTCAGTTCTTTGGTTCAGTTGTTTGGTTCAGTTCTCTGGTTCAGTTCTTTGGTTCAGTTCTCTGGTTCAGTTCTTTGCTCAGTTCTCTGGTTCAGTTTTTTGGTTCTGTTCTCTGCTTTAGTTCTTTGGTTCAGTTGTTTGGTTCAGTTGTTTGGTTCAGTTGTTTGGTTCAGTTGTTTGGTTCAGTTGTTTGGTTCAGTTGTTTGGTTCAGTTCTTTGGTTCTGTTGTTGGTTCAGTTCTTTGGTTCAGTTCTTTGGTTCAGTTCTCTGGTTCAGTTCTTTGGCTCAGTTCTCTGGTTCAGTTTTTGGTTCTGTTCTCTGCTTTAGTTCTTTGGTTCCGTTGTTTGGTTCAGTTGTTTGGTTCAGTTGTTTGGTTCAGTTCTTTGGTTCAGTGTTTGGTTTCAGTTGTTTGGTTCAGTTCTTTGGTTCAGTTCTCTGGTTCAGTTCTTTGGTTCTGTTGTTTGGTTCAGTTCTTTGGTTCAGTTCTCTGGTTCAGTTCTTTGGTTCAGTTCTCTGGTTCAGTTCTTTGGTTCAGTTCTTTGGTTCAGTTCTCTGGTTCAGTTCTTTGGTTCAGTTGTTTGAGCGACAGCGCCACCTTCAGAAAGATCTGCTCTGTTTGTGGCAGATTGTATGAAAGTTCTGCTGTTAGCTAAAAGCTGCTAATTTAGATGGAAAATGGGTGAAATTCAGCAGAACTGCATCGTGTTTTTCAGTTTATTTGTGGACTGTCTTTAATGTGAAATTGTTAAATGAGGAAAGCAGCAGTGCAATCAGCGACACGTTGGGATGCCGCAGCTGTCTGTGAGGAAATTCAATCTGTTTTTATTTTTAGATCTCCTTATGGCTGAAGCCAAACAACTGCAGCAAGGCGCAGAAATTCTTCTGAAAGTGATCCTGCAGGTACTTGTGGTGATCTGCTTGAGAAGAATCAGTTCATAATTGAGGAGCAAAAGGAGAATAAGTTCTGATGAAAACATAAGAACTGGTGCGTTTGGGCGTTAATAAGTTGGGTTGCTGTTAATCAGACGTTCCTGCAGCTCTTAGCGCAGTTTGTTTGTTGGGCAGTTTGTTCGGGTTCCAGCCTGAAGATGTGGAGCTGAGCTCTGCATGCAGCTGCATCAGGCCTGCTGGAGCCACAGCGCCTCCCTGTGGCTGGATCATAACTGATTCCTTCATGCAGGGACGGGAGGAAAAAACCCAAACGCTGCCGAACTCACCTGAACGCCGGACGGGTCACACTGTCAGGTCGTCATCAGAGGTCAAAGGTCACAGCCTGTAGCTTCAATCAGTGTTTCTGCTGAACTGAAGCAAGAACAAAAATCCACATTTGATGTCAGTTTCTTGTGCTGAATGTAAATCATTTGGTTTATTTTATGAAATTAAATATTTACGTTTGTTTATCCACTAAATGTTTGCTACTAAAGTTGATTCTATTTTTAATATGAGTTTCATTTTGTTTACCTTTTGATCCTTATTGTCAGAACATTTTTCTGCTTTTGTTTTACAAATATTTACTTTGAATTAATTTATTATTTGCTTAAGTCTTTAACTGAAACATTCAATTGAACATTTTTAAATATAAAATTGTATTTTAGGAATCCCTCATATTTTTATGTTCTTTTGTACTTTTCCACTGTTTCATTTTTAGTTTTTAATGTTTGTAATTACTATTATTTATTCCTAAATAATAATAATGATTTATTTAGGCATATTTCAGCCAGATGTTGTTGGTTCTCTCCTCCATGACAGTGACTCTTTTTGCCAGTAGTAAACATAAATCTGCAGCAGTAGTTATATGTTGTGTATCAGGATTTAAACCATGTTGGTGGTTTGATACCGAACAGACTCCAGAGCTGCTTCAGTCGTTTATTGCGATGGGAGAACGTTTCCGTCTCTCGCTCTGGATGGCAGCTTGTGTCCATCAGGCTTTTCTGCCGTTATATTTCCGAACTGGAGGAAATATTCCCAGAGGGAGGCAGGATCTCCTGGAGATTCTCCCTGCGCTAAATGTTATGTAGTGTGGAGAAAACTCCGTTTCTAATCGTCGTTCATGTGGATTTCCCCAGTGATGGGAGATTCATGTAATTTGAAAGTCTTAAATGATTTGATCAGTTACTCAGGATGTTTTTCTGCTCTTCCGCCTCCTGTCAGCTGGACTCAGTCGGAGCTTCTGTTGGTTCTCGTCAGACGCTCTGCTCTTCATGTCTCTCTCTGGGGGTAAATCCAGCTCCCTGTTGCCCCGCCCAGCTGATCCTGCCCAGACTGTCTTAGCGTTAGCGATAGCTTCATTCGGCTGTGCTGCAGTTGCTCAGCTTGTGCTGCGTGTCTGCAGGACATTTCAGTAGTTTCTGTTGCGATGGGGTCTGTAGAGGCCCCCGCGCCGCCGCCGCCGCTCCTGGCTAACTCTGGTTTTCGTGGTTACCGCACCGTCTCGCAGCACCTCAACGACCTGAAGAAGGAGAACTTCAGCCTGAAGCTGCGGATCTACTTCCTGGAGGAGAAGATCCAGCAGAAGTTTGACCAGAGCGGCGACGGCGTCCACAGAGCGGTGAGTGGCACAACCCACAGAGACTCAGCAGACTTTAACTAGGACACCTGAGGGACCGGGTGACCTTTGATGATCTCCAGAGACATTTATTGATATCTTTCAAACCAAAGCTGTATTTATTTCAAACAACTAAAATATCAGAGGAAAAAATAAAAGTCACCAAGAAAAAAACAAGAAAGTTATAAAAATCAACTAAAACATGATTAAATCTTTCCTGTATTAATATCTTTGGTAAAACAGTAACATGAACAAAAAGTGTTGCTACATAATTAATTTATAAGCTGTTGAAATGATCAATAAACATGATATGTTTATTATTATTCAGCTCATTTTGGGTGATTTTGCTCTTTATTCTTGTTTTGCTTTTTGTTGAATGTAGATAAATTAATGGTTGTTGTTTAAATATGTTAAATATAGTTTTCTTGTTATGATCATGGATGTTTTACGACACCCTAAAACATTTCTGACTTTCAAAAGACAAAATCGTCGTTTCTTTGTAAGATACTGAAAATAATCATTTTATTTTGTGCATCTTCAGCCTGCAGCCCCCTGACCCACATTCTGCCCCTGCTCCATTTTTAGCCCTGCTCCGGATCAGAACCGGACACCTGGGTCTGTGTGTCAGTGGGTCAGCGACCCGCTGCACGTGAGCACAGCCTCCGGTCCGGTCCGGTTTGTTGCTGTAGACGGAGCTAAAAGTGGAGCCGCTGCTGGATGTTGTTACAGACGCAGCAGGTGGAGGAGCTAAGATTAGACCCAAACAAACCCAGAGGAGAGGACGCTGGTTCTGGTTCTGGTTCTGGTACCGGTTCTGGTCCTGGTCCCGGTTCTGGTTCTGCTGCTGGTCCTAGTCCTGGTTCTGGTTCTGGTCCCAGACCCGGTCCGGTTCTGGTTCTGGGTCTGGGTCTGGTTCTGGTCCTGGTCCTGGTTCTGGTCCCGGTTCTGGTTCTGGGTCTGGTTCTGGTTCTGGTTCTGGTTCTGGTTCTGGTTCTGGTACTGGTTCTGGTCCTGGTTTTGGTCCCGGTTCTGGTCCTGGTCCCGGTTCTGGTTCTGCTGCTGGTCCTAGTCCTGGTTCTGGTTCTGGTTCCAGTCCCAGACCCGGTCCGGTTCTGGTTCTGGGTCTGGGTCTGGTTCTGGTCCTGGTTCTGGTTCTGGTCCCGGTTCTGGTTCTGGGTCTGGTTCTGGTTCTGGTTCTGGTTCTGGTACCGGTTCTGGTCCTGGTTCTGGTCCCGGTTCTGGTCCTGGTCCCGGTCCCGGTTCTGGTTCTGCTGCTGGTCCTAGTCCTGGTTCTGGTTCTGGTTCCAGTCCCAGACCCGGTCCGGTTCTGGTTCTGGACGGCTCATGGTTCCTCCAGCCTGCAGAACGGCTGGAAATCGTAGAGCTGTATGTCAGATCTAACAGAAATAATTTCAAACGTTTGTTTTGCTGCTTTTCTTTGAAGATATTAGTGAAAGTTAATGTGAGTTAACCTCAAATCACCCAAATCCAGAACTGGTGTCAAATGTTTGTTCAGTAAAAATGTTGATTCTCATTTTAAAGATATTATTAAGAAAGTTTCCAGAGGTCATTAGAGCTCAACCAAAATATTGGTGTCCATCAACTCGCGGCCAAAATTTTGTCTGTGCTGCTTTTTCTTAAAACATATTGATGATGACCTCTGACCTCTGGAATCTGATCCAGAATCCAGGGAAAGAAACTCTGATCCTACAGGAAGTAAACAGGAAGTTGTCAGAAATTTGTTATTGTTCTTCCTGTTTGTCCTGCAGAACATCGAGCTGAAGGTGAAAGTTGAGAGTCTGAAGAAGGATCTGCAGGAGAAGCAGGAGCTTCTGGACCGGGCGCTGTGAGTAACGGGGCGCCGCTAGTAACGGGGCGCCGTGAGTAACGGGGCGCCGTGAGTAACGGGGCGCCGTGAGTAACGGGGCGCCGCTAGTAACGGGGCGCCGTGAGTAACGGGGCGCCGTGAGTAACGGGGCGCCGTGAGTAACGGGGCGCCGTGAGTAACGGGGCGCCGCGAGTAACGGGGCGCCGCGAGTAGCGGGGCGCCGTGAGTAACGGGGCGCCGTGAGTAACGGGGCGCCGTGAGTAACGGGGCGCCGTGAGTAACGGGGCGCCGTGAGTAACGGGGCGCCGCTAGTAGCGGGGCGCCGTGAGTAACGGGGCGCCGCTAGTAACGGGGCGCCGTGAGTAACGGGGCGCCGTGAGTAACGGGGCGCCGTGAGTAACGGGGCGCCGTGAGTAACGGGGCGGCGTGAGTAACGGGGCGCCGTGAGTAACGGGGCGCCGCGAGTAACGGGGCGCCGTGAGTAACGGGGCGCCGTGAGTAACGGGGCGCCGTGAGTAACGGGGCGCCGTGAGTAACGGGGCGCCGTGAGTAACGGGGCGCCGTGAGTAACGGGGCGCCGTGAGTAACGGGGCGCTGTGAGTAACGGGGCGCTGTGAGTAACGGGGCGCCGCTAGTAACGGGGCGCCGCGAGTAACGGGGCGCTGTGAGTAACGGGGCGCTGTGAGTAACGGGGCGCTGTAACGTAGCTGACTGCTGGATGCTCTTAAAGGGCCGGCGTCGGGTTCCTTCCTTCAGACCAGACTGAATGTTTGAACGTTTAAACTGTTAAACTGAAACTGACGAAACCTCAGCCTGCGTCACACATTTGGGTTTTTAGAGTCTCTTTTTTTACTTCCTGAAAAATCCATCTAAAAACAAAAAACATGTTTTTAGATTTTCTCCTTATAAATACCAGAGAGTCTTTGATGTTTAGGACCTGAAGTGTTTCTGCCGCTTGGCTTAACCAGCAGCTGATGTTCTGACCCGCTCAGAGCCACAGCCGAGGTCCTGTCCAATCAGAATGAAGCAGAGCTGCAGCGCCGCCTGGTGGGGCGGCAGGACGAGGTCAGACACATGCAGGAGATGCTGGAGGACAAAGTTCAGCTGCTGCAAAAGGTTCAGAGACTCTTCCTGATTGGCCCATCACCCAGAAACGCTCATCATAAACTGAACGCCTGATCGCTGTGGTTGTGTGGTCCAGGAGGCCGAGGCGGCCCGGAGCGAGGCCCGGCGCGCGGCGTCGCTGGCGGACGCCGAGGCCCGGCGCTGCCTGGCTCTGCAGAGGGAGATGCTGGAGAAGACGGAGGAACACGGAGACTCGGCTGGAGTCCAGACGAGTCGGACCGACGCAGACAGGTGACTGAGAACCTTTTCACTCTTCAGCATCAAGCGAACATAAGTTCACCACAGGCTGAAGGTCTGGTTCCTCCCTCACATCTCTGAGCTTCGCTCCGCTTCCTGTTTCAGGCTGCTGGAGGATTTGGAGCAGCAGAAACAGTCGCTAAGTCTCCAGGTCGAAGAGCTCCAGGTCAAAGTTCATGACCTTTCATCCTCGCTGGAGAACAGAGAACGAGACGCCGAGGTATTTTCAGCCCATCTGTCTTTTCCTGACGCCTTGAGCAAAAATAAAACTTCAGACTGAAGATTTGAAACTAATGCAAAATGAGAAAATATTTAATAAAGTCAGTAAATAATTAATCAGATTTTAATGTGAATCTTTATGGACTAAATGAGCCAGTTCAGTTCAGAGTGTTCATCTCCTGTCGCTGGGAGTGAAAGTAGCTTGTGCGTCAGATACACTGGTCTACCATAAACATGCAATTACAAAAGTTCCTACTGGAACTTTTATATAAAAATGTGTAATTAATCATACAAGAAAAGGTTTTCATGATTTATAATTAATTCTGTAATTAATTATAAATCCATATAACTAATTAATCAAAACTAATTAAACAAATAATTTTATTCTGCTGATTGAACAAGAAAAAACAGCTTTAAGCTTTTAATGTGCAGTGGATTTAATTATTCTGTAATTAATGTTAAGAATATTAAACAAACTTGATGTGTATTTTAAAAAATGTCTAGTTAAAGTTGAAACATATTTAATATTTATGTTTTTCTGTAATTTATTTAACATTTCTGGAGTTGGAGTTTGATTTCCTTCATGTTAACAACTGAAAGTAAAAACAAAATAAATGTTAAATTAGAAACATTTAAACCACCGGTTGTCTGAGGAGCTTCTACTGAAGTGATGGTGGAGTCCCACAGGGTCGTGTGTTCGGACCTCTGATCTTTTCTGTTTGTCTCGGTTGGACTTCATCAAAATGGCATCCAACATGGCCGCCAGATGTCCTCAAATATGTTTGATGAAACTAATAAGCTGCATCAGGGAAGCTAAAGTCAAAATGTTTCTGCCTGAAATCTTCCTGATCTTGAGCAAAATGTTTCCTCTAAAACCAGCTTCATAAAAATGTATTTACTGCTTTTACCACACTGAATAAAAACTCCAGAAAACTCCTATTATCTGTTTATTTTCAAATGAATTCCTGCTGTTTCATATTTTGTAGCGCCATCTGCTGGTGCACCAGGTTAATCTTTGCAGCAGACAGATATACTTTGTAAAGTTTATTCAGTTTCTATAAATGTTACATTAAAACTTTTGTTTGCAGTAAAACGTTTGCCAGTAAATTAGTTTGTAATCGCGATCCGCTGACCGTTCGCAACAATGAGCGTTTCCTGAGCAGCAGGCGGAGAAACCATGGCGACGGCTCGTCCGTCTCCGTCAGTCGGCCATGTTTGGCACTTCCCTCTGATTGGGATTAATTGATCTTTGATTGCGAGCCTCGTCCCAGACGATGGATGGTTGCCGTTGCGGCTGCAGACGGATGCGGATCCGGTCCAGGAAAACAAAGCCCACATGGCCGTAGATCTATCAACGTAGATGCTGCACGCTGTGACGGATGGAGACGTTTGGTTTATCTGTGCGGCGGAAACGGTCTTGGACCAGCTAATGGACGGGACGTCATGGAACGATTCTGTTGTGATATAAATGACCGAGTGTCACAGCAATAAGAGCCCCACAGAAACAGCTCTTTAAAAACATTCCCTCTTGCAACAGGTTGATTTAGGACACCAGGCTTTACCTCCAAGTTAATTGGTATTTATAGAAAATAAAAGCCAATAATGCTGAGAGTAAGGTCAGCTGTGAATGGATCATTGATTGGAATTTATTGTGACAAAATGATAAACGATGCGAGAAACTTCCTCTCTCACGGTCAATATGGCTCGATGGTCTGCAGGAAGCTTTTATGTGGAAACAAAAATCCAAAACCGTTCAAAATTATTAATATCTATAAAAATAGAATAAAAGAAGAGCTTTAGGGAGCACTACCATGGGAACAATGTGGGATATTTTTTACTAATAGTACCTGAAACTGACTTGAAATCCCAGAGGAACTGAAAAGGAGGCTCAACGGCTGCAGGGCAGAGAGAAACAGGAAGTTCGAAGCGTCTCTTCCTTCCATCATGACGGAAATAGAAGATCTTTGGCAAACAAAATGGATGAACTTCAGGCCCAAAAGAACAACCCAGCCAGAGTTTTGGGGCTCAGATCCCCTACTTCAACGTCTCTGTCCATAAAACCAGACACATTTAAAGAGAAGCAGCAAAAGCAAAGGAGGTGGATTAGCAGCAATGACGTCATCCAGGAAGTGTTGCTGTGGAGTAATGGATGTTAGCGTGTCAAAACGGTCAGGAGACTAACACAAAGCCACAGAGGCCTGGTCAGAAACGTTGGTAGACTGACTGCTTCTGCATGTTGTTTCTTCCCATCTTTTCGCCAGAATTTAATTCTGTGTGGATGAATAAAGTAGCTTTAAATTTGATGTGACCAGAGACAGACTCCGTCCATCACTGGTCCCAGTCTGTCTCTGCTGGGGAAACTTTCCTTTCCCAGTGAAACACTCCAGCTTATTTTGAGGCGTACTGTCCCTTTAAGACAACGAGGCGAAAGCTGGAAGCTCTTCTCCAGAACCGCAGCAGGATATTCTGTCCTCCAAAACCTAGTCCAGTCCAACCTGCATCAGAAAAATGTTTTTATGAGGATTTTTATTTCCAGACTCTATCATCAGTTGCCACTGGTAACCAAATGCTCTCAGGAAACGTTTTATTTTCCAGGAGGAAGTGATTAATTTCTGGAGGAAATGTGACGTTTCCTGGTTGTAGGCAGGCAGTGAGGTGGAGACCAGGCAGAGGAGCCGCTCTTCCTGTCAGTACCATTCAATTTCAAGAGGTCTCACTCCTCCACAAATCCCAGAGCAGAAAATAAACAGCATTCCGCTTTTTGATTCAGTAGATTGAATATATAGTTGAGTTTCTCCATTTCTCTAAATTCATCAAAATAAATGTTAAAAGCTGCATTCTACGCCCTGGCCACACGGTGGCGCCACGGTCGCAGTACAGCCGTTCATCAGGGATTTTTGTAGTTTTTGGAGTGAAGCATCTTCCTTCGTACATATGGTCTTTGGTTGCGGAGTGACGCATCCTGTCAGACATAGAGGATCTTTGTGAGAAAGCAGCGGTTCCGGCTGGTTCTGCCGTTAACTGAGCTCGGAACCAGAACCGGGACCGTTACAGATTCTGACCCTGGAGAAGGAAACCCGGGACTTAAAGGAGCCGCGCTTTCATTTCCCGGAAAAAAATCCGAGCCCAATCTGCGTGATTCACGACCCGCCGGCGGGATTTGCGCCACAGCCTCTTCTGTGTGCATCACCATCAGCCTGCGGGACTCTGCGGATCATTGAGGATTTAAATCAGATTTAAGTGAGACCAGCCGTGACCTCTGACCCCTGCGGGATGCTGGACGCGGTGAGGATGAAGGAGGCCTGCCGAATCTGCGCCCGGGAACTGTGCGGGAACCAGCGGCGCTGGATCTTCCACCCCGCAGCCAAGCTGAGCCTGCAGGTGCTGCTGGCCCACGCCCTGGGCCGCGGGCTGGACCGGGACGGCCGCGGGGAGTTCGCCTGCTCCAAGTGCGCCTTCATGCTGGAGCGCATGTTCCGGTTCGACACGGTGGTGGCCCGGGTGGAGGCGCTGTCCCTGGAGCGCCTGCAGCGGCTGCTGCTGGAGAAGGAGCGGCTGCGGCTCTGCATCGCGGGGCTGTACCGCAGGAGCAACCCGGGGGAGGCCGGCGGGGAGGACGCGGACCTGCACGGCAGCTACTCGGACCTGATCCGGGACGACCTGGTGTTCTCGGGGTTCGAGTCCTGGGCGGATCGGGAGGATGCGGTTCCGGACCCGCCGCTCCACCACTGCGGCGGCGCGGAGGCCAGCCAGAAGCCCCGCAGGTGCCGCGGCTGCGCGGCGCTTCGGGTCGCGGACTCGGACTACGAGGCGGTCTGCAAGGTTCCGAGGAGGTTCGGGCGCAGAAGCACCTCCTGCGGGCCGTCGACCCGCTGCTCCGCCTCCGCTCTGGGGGTGGAGGACCTGAGCAGAACCTCCGAGGCAACACCTGTCCCGATGGATGTTCCTGCAGCGGAAGCGGACAGACGCAACCACAGCCCCGCATCCTCCGTGGAGTCTCTGGAGCTCCACAGAACCAAGAAGGACCCGAACCGGAACCCGGAGGAGGCGGGCCGGTTCTGGAGAAAACCCCAGGCTGGGAGCTCCCTGTCCGGGGCGGAGCTGCTGCTGGGCCTCCTGCGGGGCTGGGAGTACCAGCCGGTGACCCCGCCCAGGGGCAGCAAGCTCCCGGTTCTGGTCAAAGGCAAACTGGACCCGAGCCAGTCCTCCCACCCGGCCGTCCCAGAGGTGGTGGTGCTCTGTCCAGAGGAGGAGCTGCAGGACGAGCTGGAGGAGCTGGAGGAGCAGTGGCTGGATGATTACCTCCCGTGTCGCCTCCAGCAGGTAGATGGAGATCCGAGGTCTCCGTCAGGCCTCCATCAGGCCTCCATCAGGCCTCCATCAGGCCTCCATCAGGCCTCCATCAGGTCTCCATCAGGTCTCCATCAGGCCTCCATCAGGCCTCCATCAGGTCTCCATCAGGCCTCCATCAGGCCTCCATCAGGCCTCCATCAGGTCTCCATCAGAGCCCAGCGTCACAGTGGTGGGACTAGTGGCCATGCGCCATAGGTGCACCACCTGCAGGGGGCGCCACATGTTGGGGACCTGAGAGTTTCCAGTTAGCATTTTCTGGATTTAACATTATTATAACATGGTTGACAAAAATAGCAGCACAGGTTTTTATAAAATGTTCTGATATCGCTGCAAAATATTTTGATAACATTTCATGACGTCGCCCATCTTTAATCATGACTCAGCAAATTTTTGTCAAATGGGCAAAAAAATTTAAATAAACAAATTTATAAACTATTTATAGTTCTTATCTCCAGTTATAAGTGCTGAATTTCAAGATGCTTCCTAATATTTAACTATCTTAAATAAATTAAATAAACTTACTAATTTGGGTTCAGCAAAGTCGGCTTTTCAGTAAAAGTCTCTGGATAAAACAATTAATATTTTCTTTTTATCATTTTCAATTGTAAGAAAATCATCTCTAATAAATTTTATAAAGTAAATCTGCATCAACCACCTTTAATGGACGGGATAAATTTATATCCGTTTCAAACTTCAATCAGCCTGAGGGCCACAAACGGCCCCCGGGCCGCAGGTTGGACATCCCTGTTGCTCCTCCGTTACCACAACATCCGTATCCGAGCAACTGCTGCGTCGCCTTGGCAACAGTCTCCACGCGCGGCTTCATAACTCCCGTTGTGATGCAAATGACGCACCAGTACAGCTCCCAGTTCACCCAGTACAGCTCCCAGTTCACCCAGTACAGCTCCCAGTTCACCCAGTACAGCTCCCAGTTCACCCAGTACAGCTCCCAGTTCACCCAGCAGAGCTCCCAGTTCACCCAGTACAGCTCCCAGTTCACCCAGTACAGCTCCCAGTTCACCCAGTACAGCTCCCAGTTCACCCAGCAGAGCTCCCAGTTCACCCAGTACAGCTCCCAGTTCACCCAGTACAGCTCCCAGTTCACCCAGCAGAGCTCCCAGTTCACCCAGTAGAGCTCCCAGTTCACCCAGTAGAGCTCCCAGTTCACCCAGTAGAGCTCCCAGTTCACCCAGCAGAGCTCCCAGTTCACCCAGTACAGCTCCCAGTTCACCCAGCGGAGCTCCCAGTTCACCCAGTACAGCTCCCAGTTCACCCAGTACAGCTCCCAGTTCACCCAGCAGAGCTCCCAGTTCACCCAGTACAGCTCCCAGTTCACCCAGTACAGCTCCCAGTTCACCCAGTACAGCTCCCAGTTCACCCAGTACAGCTCCCAGTTCACCCAGTACAGCTCCCAGTTCACCCAGTACAGCTCCCAGTTCACCCAGCAGAGCTCCCAGTTCACCCAGTACAGCTCCCAGTTCACCCAGTACAGCTCCCAGTTCACCCAGCAGAGCTCCCAGTTCACCCAGTACAGCTCCCAGTTCACCCAGCAGAGCTCCCAGTTCACCCAGTACAGCTCCCAGTTCACCCAGTACAGCTCCCAGTTCACCCAGCAGAGCTCCCAGTTCACCCAGTACAGCTCCCAGTTCACCCAGTACAGCTCCCAGTTCACCCAGCAGAGCTCCCAGTTCACCCAGTACAGCTCCCAGTTCACCCAGTACAGCTCCCAGTTCACCCAGCAGAGCTCCCAGTTCACCCAGTACAGCTCCCAGTTCACCCAGTACAGCTCCCAGTTCACCCAGTACAGCTCCCAGTTCACCCAGCAGAGCTCCCAGTTCACCCAGTACAGCTCCCAGTTCACCCAGCAGAGCTCCCAGTTCACCCAGCAGAGCTCCCAGTTCACCCAGTAGAGCTCCCAGTTCACCCAGCGGAGCGAGGAATCGTCTCTAACGGTTGAAGGCGACCGCTGCTGGTCTCAAACCAGTTTCAGTCAGAACCCAACCAGTGAGGATCCAGAACCAGATTCCACTAAATTCTCACCATTTGCTGCCCAAAAAAAAAAATCAGCAAATTTCTGCTGAACAACAAACAACCAGAAACTTTTAATGTAAAACATCAGATTTTATTTTTGTCGGATCATAAATTAAAAACCTCAAATTGTTTTTACACAATTTACTTGTGAAACAAAGTAAAAGCATTTTAAAAAGTTTGATTTTTCAGAAGGAAACAAAAATATTTTTCACATTTTCTGAGCAATAAAAACATTACAAACTTTTCTGTATTCAGCTCCATTTGATCAGCTTCTTGTTTTCAACCGAAAGCAGAATCCTAACAGCAGGAAGTTACAGAAACCACTTCCTGCAATGACATCACAGTCGACTTTCACTTCGTCCAGCAGCAGCGGCGGCAGTAGCTGCAGCTGCAGCGCTGCTTCGCCACGTTTAATTTCACTGTTGGCTTGAGAAACGTTCGGTCAGCTGCAGCTCTTCTGCTTCCTGCATCGGTTTTTATCAAATGTTCTGATGTCGCTGCAAAAACGACCAACGAGATTCAGCCAGAAAAACTGAGCTGAAACGTTTCTGGGATTTTAACAGATTTCTGTTCCTCATGTTCATGTTATTCCTGCTTCCTGATGCGTTTCCTGCTTCCTGATGCATTTCCTGATGTGTTTCCTGTTTCCTGATGCGTTTCCTGTTTCCTGATGCGTTTCCTGTTTCCTGATGCGTTTCCTGCTTCCTGATGTGTTTCCTGATGCGTTTCCTGTTTCCTGATGCGTTTCCTGTTTCCTGATGCGTTTCCTGATGTGTTTCCTGTTTCCTGATGCGTTTCCTGTTTCCTGATGCGTTTCCTGCTTCCTGATGCGTTTCCTGATGCGTTTCCTGTTTCCTGATGCGTTTCCTGTTTCCTGATGCGTTTCCTGATGTGTTTCCTGTTTCCTGATGCGTTTCCTGCTTCCTGATGCGTTTCCTGATGCGTTTCCTGTTTCCTGATGCGTTTCCTGTTTCCTGATGCGTTTCCTGATGTGTTTCCTGTTTCCTGATGCGTTTCCTGTTTCCTGATGCGTTTCCTGCTTCCTGATGCGTTTCCTGATGCGTTTCCTGTTTCCTGATGCGTTTCCTGTTTCCTGATGCGTTTCCTGATGTGTTTCCTGTTTCCTGATGCGTTTCCTGCTTCCTGATGCGTTTCCTGTTTCCTGATGCGTTTCCTGTTTCCTGATGCATTTCCTGATGTGTTTCCTGTTTCCTGATGTGTTTCCTGTTTCCTGATGTGTTTCCTGTTTCCTGATGCGTTTCCTGTTTCCTGATGTGTTTCCTGATGTATTTCCTGATGCGTTTCCTGATGCGTTTCCTGATGTGTTTCCTGTTTCCTGATGTGTTTCCTGTTTCCTGATGTGTTTCCTGTTTCCTGATGCGTTTCCTGATGTGTTTCCCAGCGGCTGGTCGGCGAGCAGCAGGACCAGCTCAGTCGGTACCACAGTGCTGCGGGTCTGTGCGTGGGAGAGCTGCAGCAGGCCCAGAACCAGGTCCGATCGCTGCAGGTCAACATCAGAGAGAGCGAGGCTCGGAACCAGGTACCAGACCCGGCTCCCGGGTTCCAGACCCGGCTCCCGGGTTCCAGACCCGGCTCCCGGGTCCCAGACCCGGCTCCCGGGTCCGACATGCTGAGGATGTTCTGTCTGGTCTGCAGAAGCTGCAGGAGCGTCTGGCTGCCATGGAGCTGCAGCTGCGCTCGGCGCAGGATGAGGCGCAGCAGCAGGAGAGACTCATCCAGAACCTGATGGACGGCGCCGTGTCCAAGGAGACGGAGGTGAGACTGGAGCAGACTCAATCTGCTTCCTGTGGAAATGTTAGTTTGTTGAGTCCTGATTGGACAGTGGAGCTGTTGTTGCGATGGGCCTGGGGGTTTCCTGCGCTGAGCGAACAGCAGCTGCAGCTCCAGGTTTACTTGTTGCAGGTTTGTGATCTGAACCGAGCCGTGGACCATCAGAACCAGACGCTGTGTTCCCTCAGGGAGGCGGCGAACCGCCGCCAGGTGTGTTACTGTCACTAAACTCACCAACACACACAGCAAATTTCATACAAACACGCTTTGATAGCATATGCAGCCGCTCCAAGTGGGCGGGGCTTGTTGGCGACGTCTCCTCTGATTGGCTGACAGGTGATGAGTTCTAGCGCCATCATGGCTGCATCTCATGTTTCCTTCAGTGAAATATTTACGGTCAGAATCGGGAGCAGAAACATTTGGTATCATTTTCAGGTTCTGCAGAGTTTATTGTTAGACGTTAGCAGACATGCAGCTAACTGACTCGTCGCCCCTCCCCAACCTGTAGCTGTCCAGTACCGAGGCGGCTCCGGGTCAGGGCGAGGTTCTGGCCCTGCAGGCGGCGCTGTTCCAGGCTCAGCTGGAGCTGCAGGCGGCCCAGCGCGCTCAGCGCCGGGCGGACCGCGCTCAGGAGGACCAGAACCGGGCCCTGGAGAGGCTGGAGAGAGACCTGCAGGGGGCGCTGCAGCACCGCAGGGACACGGAGCGACACAATCGGGTCAGCAGGCCCGCCGACTGACCCGGCCGGACGCCGGCGCCTGCAGCAGAGGTTCTGATGGGTTTCTGTGTCCAGGAGCTGCAGCTGATTCTGCAGGCGGTCCGGTCCGACCTGCAGGCGAGGGAGGAGCAGCTGAGCGAGGGCGAGCAAGAGAGGCGGAGGGAGAGGGAGGAGAGAGAGCGCAGCATGGCGGAGCTGAGGGCCGACCTGCAGCTGAAGGAGCAGCTGCTTCAGGTCAGAGGTCAAAAGTGCAGCAGCTCATTTTAATGTTGGAACAAAATTCTAGATTTAGGATTTATGTTCCGTGTAATTATTAAAATATGAATAATTCCTTGTAATTTTTTTTTTTTTGCTTTCAAATTTTGAAATTTAATGAACAAATATGAATTTTCTCTTCATTCTATATTGATGTATTTTTCTCATGTTTCCTTACATCATTTTCTATATTTTATTCTTCTGGATTGATGTAAAAGTCTGTTAACAGTTTCTCCTCCTTTTCTTCCATTATTAATTTCTTCACGTATTAATGGTGATGCAGGAATACGGCGAGACGTTGAAGGAACCGAAGGACAACAGAGACGCTTTGCTGCAGAAACTTCGGCAGCGAATAACGGAGCGAGACCGAGCGCTGGAGGTGAAACTCTTAATCTCGACATCATTATCAGCTGAAACTAAAACCTGACCCCGCCCTGCTGGTCCCGCCTCCTCGCAGCGAGCCGTCGACGAGACGTTTCGCTCGGCAGAGCAGCGAGACGCGGCAAACCGGCAGCTGCAGCTGCTGCTGCAGGAGAAGGAGCGAGACCTGGAGAGGCAGCGCCGCGTTCTGGCCAACAACGAGGAAACCATCGCTGTAAGTGTTCGCTCCCCACTGGCTCCCCCGCGCCGGCTCCGCCCCGCCCCGCCGGCTCCGCCCCGCCCCGCCGGCTCCGCCCCGCCGGCTCCGCCCCGCCGGCTCCGCCCCGCCGGCTCCGCCCCGCCCCGCCCCGCCGGCTCCGCCCCGCCGCCCCATTCACCCTCTGTGTGTCTGACCCAGAGCCTGGAGGCGCTGCTGAGGGGGAAAGAGCTGCAGCTGCAGCAGCTGGCTGACGCCTGGACCGGCGCCCGGCGGCTGCAGCGGGACGCCGACGAGCGGACCAGTCAAATCCTGAAGGAGCGAGACGGCGTCATTGAGCAGCTGCAGGCGGCGCTGATCGCTCGCACGCAGGAGACTCAGGTGATTCAAACGCTCCTGGCGTCCGGTTTAAATGATTCCACTGACATGGTTCTGGCTCCAGAGCCGGTTCTGTTCGCGCCGCGTCTCTCCAGAACCAACGGTGCTGGACCATAAATCGACCCAGAAGTTTTGAGAGCATTTTTAGCTGATATGATGCTAACAATAAAGCCGTTACAGTTTGTCAGAGATCAATAAACATTCAAATGAATCAATATTTGACATATTGATTGAGTAAACAATACAAATAAAAACCAGCTTAGCAGCGGTTAGCTTCTCTTGTCTAAGTGAAGGAAAACAAAGTTAGCCAAGTCAGCTACATGAAGCTAGCAGGCTAAAGTATATTTCTTTCCCTGCTTCCTGCAGGACCTGCGCTGCTCTCTGCTGCCTCAGGTCCAGTCGGCGCCGGGTCAGGTTCTGGAGGAGCTGAAGCTCCGCCTCCAGCTGAAAGACCGTCTCTTCCAGGAAGTGATGTCAGACCGGACCCGGCAGGCCCGGGAGCACCAGGAGCAGGTCCAGGATCTGCTCAGAACCGTCAGCGCCAGGGACCAGTACATCCAGGTACAGCCGGACCTTTAAACAGAGTGGCCAAACAGGAGGTCCGGGGGCCAGATCTGGCCCGTCGAAGCTTCCCATGTGGCCCTCCAGCCTCCACAAAAACACAAATTATTCAAGATTACAGCCGTTAAATATTATTTTAAAAATCAAAGCAGTTTCACCTGTTTGCTGCCAAATCACATCAACCAGCAGAAAATCAACAAAATGAGTTTATTGCACAAAACTGTCACAAACATTGGATTTGAGTGATGCTAACTCCCACCTGCAGGTGGCAGTCTTTCCTATTTGATGTCAGGTTGCAGTTTGTGATCGATGTTGAGGAACAAAAGTCGCATTTTCTGTGAAACGAGAGAAAATGTTGCTTTCAGAAACAACCCTGGAATCCATCAGAGTGAAAGATGTTCAGTAATAATTTGTTTTAGGAAGTGAGTTTTGGCTTCAGAGGTTTCGGACTCTAACATGCTGCCGACTCCCTCAGGACTCAGCGGCCCGACTCACCGAGGTTCTGGAGGAGCAGACCCTCAGAGTTCAGGAGCTGCGGCGGCAGCTGGGCTCCGGGTCGCAGCCGGACGCGCCTGCAGCGCTGCAGCAGGAGCTGCAGCAGCAGCTGCGCCTGGCGCTGCAGAGGGAGGAGCAGAACCAGCAGGAGACGAAGAGTCGGGCCGAGCAGCTGGACCATCTGAGCCGCAGTCTGAGCCTGAAGGAGGAGATCATCAGGGTGAGACACTGCAGCTAACCGAGCTAGCAGCTAGCATGTTCTGCTGCAGAGCATGTTGCTAAAAACAGGAAATAATAACCTGATATTTTCCTGCTCCCCCTTGCGGTGCCGCTGCTGTTCTGCTGGTTCTGGTCCTGGTGTTCATATTCTGCTGGTTCTGGTTTGGTTCTGCCCTGCAGGACCTTCAGAGGAAGATGGCGGACCCGTCGGACCTTCCTCTGGTGGAGCAGCTGACCCTGGAGGTCCAGCAGCTGAGGGAGGTTCTGGTCCGGCAGGAAGCCGCCTGGCAACCTGAGTTTGGAGGTGGGCATCAGAGAAGCCGGTACCTGTAGTTCCCCTCCCCGCCGCCGGGGGCGCTGTTACCACGGTGACGGGTCGGCGCGACGGGCAGCAGCTGCTTGATCTGGGTGGAAATACTAACAACCTTCTGAATGTTTGTCAAATAAAATATAAACTGTGTTTACATCCAGGACCAGATGGAGACAAACATTTATCTTTTATGTGCATAAATTATTATTTTCAATAAATAAAAATTCTTTACCGCACTTACTGTTTTTTTGCTAAAATTATAATAATTATGCTTCAATTTGGTATCATCAGTTTGTGTAAGTACAGTTGTTGAATATTATTAAATATTATTAATAAGCTCATATTTCAGTTTTAGTGACTAACAGCTTGTTCAGACTTTGGGTTTCTGTGTGAAATTATAAGAAAATCTAACCTGATGCTTTTTTCCAGCGTTTCCTGGACTGATTAATGGGATGTTTATTCATTACTTAATGTGTGTGTGTGTGTGTGTGTGTGTGTGTGTGTGTGTGTGTGTGTGTCACGCTGCCTGCAGCAGTAACTGCCACTGTTTTCCTGCCTGGAGCTTCGATAATAAAAAATAAAGCTGCAGTTTTTGCATCGTGTTTGTGATTTTAATTCCTCACAGAGACACAAACAGCAACTCTTCATTCTGACAACCACAGCCAGTTAAATATGCAGTAAAACATCTAAAGTCATATTTTTAGTCTGAAACAAATGTGATTATTGAGCAGCAGCAGTAACCAAACAAGCGAAGGCGTCATTTGAACCTTTCTTGGCTGCATCCAGATAAAATCCTAAATTGATCCACAAAAACATGAATGACTCACAAACTTATGAATAATCAGGAAGTTCACTTTTGCTTTGGATCCATTTATCTTCAGACTAAAACTGATTTGTCTTTTTTTTTTCACCAGGAAGATAAAATATTCATTAAATCAGGAGCTGTTAGCTTAAATCGGGATTGTTGGAAACATGCAATCTGAGGAATCTCATTTTCCTCAGATTTAAAGTCAGCGTTCAGTGGAGCTCAGTTTCTCTGCCCCAGATTCTCCTGGAAGCTGCGACATGTTGAATGAGCATTTCCTGGAAGTTCCTCTGGGTTTTCCAGGTTTTCCATTCTGACCTTCACATTTTCCTGCTTTCTGTGCATCTGTTTCCCTGCAGAGCTGAGCGGTGAAGACGAGGCAGATGAAGACGTGAAGAGTGAGTTCACTGCTGCTGCTGCTGATGATGATGATGAGAAGGAGGAGTGTGAGACACGGGTAAGAACTCCAGCAGCAGCTGCTAGCTAACCACATGTATAGCATTTATGCTGACTTAGAAAACGTTTAGCGCACTTAGCTTCCTGTAAAGCAGAGATTTGCTGGCCCCCATGGATTAGAATAAAATCCCCCCATAAAGAAAAAGAATCAGCGGGACACAAACATCGTTCATCCACACAACAACAGAACAACCACAAAACTCACTCAAGTTATTTCACACTTCAAACAAAAAAACAAACCATCTTTACAGTGAAACACTTTTGTGTAACTTGTTGTTTTCATTCATCCATAACGCTTCCTGCCCCCCTGCAATGGCACTGCAGCCCCCTAGGGGGTGCACCCCACGCTTTGGGAACCACTGTCCTAAAGTAACTTCTCTAGATAAATTAAAAAGTGCTGATTTACTAGATTGTTTTGTAAAATATTGTGTTGGTGTAGCGCTTTAGCGTTAGCTTCAGCTAAATACTGTGTTGGTGTAGCGCTTTAGCGTTAGCTTCAGCTAAATACTGTGTTGGTGTAGCGCTTTAGCGTTAGCTTCAGCTAAATACTGTGTTGGTGTAGCGCTTTAGCATTAGCTTAAGCTAAATACTGTGTTGGTGTAGCGCTTTAGCAGTAGCTTCAGCTAAATACTGTGTTGGTGTAGCGCTTTAGCAGTAGCTTCAGCTAAATACTGTGTTGGTGTAGCGCTTTAGCATTAGCTTCAGCTAAATACTGTGTTGGTGTAGCGCTTTAGCGTTAGCTTCAGCTAAATACTGTGTTGGTGTAGCGCTTTAGCATTAGCTTAAGCTAAATACTGTGTTGGTGTAGCGCTTTAGCAGTAGCTTCAGCTAAATACTGTGTTGGTGTAGCGCTTTAGCAGTAGCTTCAGCTAAATACTGTGTTGGTGTAGCGCTTTAGCTTCAGCTAAATACTGTGTTGGTGTAGCGCTTTAGCGTTAGCTTCAGCTAAATACTGTGTTGGTGTAGCGCTTTAGCGTTAGCTTCAGCTAAATACTGTGTTGGTGTAGCGCTTTAGCAGTAGCTTCAGCTAAATACTGTGTTGGTGTAGCGCTTTAGCATTAGCTTAAGCTAAATACTGTGTTGGTGTAGCGCTTTAGCGTTAGCTTCAGCTAAATACTGTGTTGGTGTAGCGCTTTAGCATTAGCTTAAGCTAAATACTGTGTTGGTGTAGCGCTTTAGCGTTAGCTTCAGCTAAATACTGTGTTGGTGTAGCGCTTTAGCTTTAGCGGATCTGGTGACTGATTAGTATCTCAGGGTTATTGCAGATACTTTTAGACCTAATTTTTAATGATCTCCTCGTTGCCGCTAACAGTTGCAGTGAGATTTTGGCCTTTGCTTCCTGACAGGTTCGGCAGCCGGTCGCTGAAGGGCTGGTGGAGGTCAAGCAGCTGGTGGAGCAGAAGCAGCTGGTGGAGAGAGAGCTGGGGGAGCTGAAGGCTCAGCTGGAGAAGGCCGGCTTCTCCTCGCTGTCCCAGATGAGGTAAGGCGCTGCGGGTCCAGGTACCGACCCAGTGGCGACAGGAATCGCTACAGGAATCGCTAGCAGGTTAGCTTGGTGATTCTCAGCTACACCAGTTGATGGTTTGACTCTTAAAGGAGAGCTTTGTTCAGCCTGCGATCAGAGAACGAAGACTTGAAGCTCCAGCTGGCTGGTGGCAGGCAGGCTGTGGAGGAGGAGGAGGAGGAGGAGGAGGAGGAGGAGGAGGAGAGCTCTGGGATGTGGGACGCTTGGGATGGAGATCTGTCTGACGTCAGGACTCAGAGCCACGGCAACCAGAAGACAGAGGAGGAAGACGGGGCGGAGACGCTCGCCGGCTCCTCGCAGGTAGGGCCAGAATACGGTCACCATGTCAACCAGTGGCCAGTTTCTCAATCCAACGATGAAACTTTGAGGATTATCATACAGATTGGAGACAAAATGTCACTTCCTGATTTACCACCTTGAAATTGGGTCTCTGTCACTTTAAGAAGCTCCGCCTCCAACATGGCTCCTCTATTAACCCTTTAGCATCGTTTTGACCAGAGCAGCAGCTCCATGATGAGCTCAGCAGCTGTTTGCTAATTGGGGGAGGAGCTTCACCTTGGAGGCGGGGCCAGGTCCCCCCAGGTGGTTTAACAGCTGGATGGTTGCCATGGAGATTTCTTAAACATAAATGAATCAAAACAACATTGCAGGTTTGTTTACAAAAACACAGAAATGAGATTTTAGAAGGTACTGCCCCTTTAAGGAGCCAGTAAAGATACTGGAACCAGTTTCTCCAACCTGGAAGGTTCTGGTCCTCAGCTGTTCTGTCTGGCTGACATGAGAGGAAGGACGGCAGCCATGTTGTTTCTCCCCCTGCCTGTATCCAGGACGACGAGCCGTCCAATCAGCAGCGAGAGCCGGACGCCTCGGCGACGGGAGGGAAGACGGTCCGTCTGCAGCTGAAGAGCCGGGAGCTGCAGGAGAGGCTGATGGTGTCGGAGGCCACAGTGCAGGCTCAGGCCGAGCAGCTGCAGGACTACAGAGAGCTGCTGGGTGAGCGCAGCCGCAGCCGCAGCTGCAGCAGCTGCAGCAGCCGCTGCGGCGCAGTCAGGTGACCCTTTTGTCTCTCTGCAGCAGAAACAGCCGTGCAGCAGGACAGCAAGCTGGTCCAGGTGGACCTGCAGGACCTGGGCTATGAGACCTGCGGCCGCAGCGAGAACGAGGCTGACAGGGAGGAGGCCAGCAGCCCAGGTGGGACTGGGGGTCACTGGGGGTCACTGGGGGTCACAGAATCAGGCCTATCGCCTCCCCCCCTTGTAGTACACTCAAACACACAGCAGAGGGCAGCAGAGGGCCTCGCCTTGGACATGAAGCTTCAGACATGTTTTTATGACAAGTGATCAGGTTTAGCATAACCAGCCTAACTAGCTGTGGTAACTAGCTAGTCAAGCAGTTCATTCCACTGAACCGAAGCAAAAGCTTCACTGGGAATCAGTGGATAATCCTCAGCTGGGCTTCAAAACGTTCAATCCAGATGAACATGAACCTCTGATCCGATTCTTCCAACCTGATGTCGATTCTCTGCGTGTTTCAGAGTTCGACGACCTGGAGATGTGCACGTCTCTGGACCTGGGCTCTCAGCGGTGGCCCGGCGCCGCCCAGCCCGACGGCTACCCCGGCGACGTGCCGTCGCTGCGGCGCCTGGTGGAGGAGCTGCGCTCGCAGCTGTGCCGCTCTCAGGCCGCCGTCCGCGGGCTGCGGCGCCGCCTCTCCGGCGACGACGGCTGGCAGGAGCTGGCGTCCAGAGTGGACGCTCTGGAGGACCAGCTGAGGAAAGGAGGCAGGAGGGAGGAAGGAAGCTCTGCGAACTGGCCGGGGTTCGTCCGACTCACAGAAACCAGATCAGCTGATCCATCGTGAAATCTGGGATTATCCACTGTCGCCATGGATACGCCAGTCCATCACACACATCAGCTTATAATCTGGATAAATCAATAAAAAGATCTGAATGAAACCAGAACAAAATGAAACACATTAAATGCTGGATTAAAATGAGATAAATATCAAAATGGAAGCAGAAAAATCTGGATTAAATCTGGATTAAAACCTGCTGAAACCCTGACGATACGAATCAGCATCAACCAAACCGTAAAATGACGGCAGCCGCTCGGCTGCATCGGTCCGACCAGGCGGGGCAGAACCTCCTGAACCTGCCGCTAACCAGCGTTTTGCTTTTGCTGCAGGAAGTTGGACTCCCTGCTGCAGGCGCAGGCCAGAGAGCTGTCGCTGCTGCGCCAGCGGCTGCGTCACGGCCGCGCCGCCTGCGCCGTCCTGCGCCGCCACCTGGCCGACGCCACCCGGGCCTTCGAGGAGCTGCTGCGCGCCAACGACGTCGACTACTACACGGGTCAGAGCTTCAGGGAGCAGCTGGCCCAGAGCGGCGCCCTGGCCCGGCGGGTCGGCGCCAGGATCGGTGAGTGGCACCGCGGTCCCGACGAGCTCGGAACCGAACGGACCCTGGCTGACTCCTCCTGCCGTTTCCCAACAGGAGATCCGTCGGAGGACCCGGAGGACCCGGAGGACCCGGAGGAGACCACGGAGCGGCTCGCCGTCCGGTCAGAACTCTGCTTCCTGTTTGGGAAACTAGCGTTTCCTCCTGAGGGCAGAACCGATCCGGTTAAAACAGACCCGATGGATAGAAATCCATGTCTGAGCTCCCGGACCGGTTCTGCTGCTCATAGAACCTGTTTGATGACGGATCCAGAACCGTCCAGCCGGTCCGTTACATGGCTCGGCAGAGGTTCTGGAGAACATTATAAATCAGATTTATTATTCATGAACCCGACAGAAACACAACTTAACATCCACGTATTGTTTTCATCAGTTAACTTTTTATCGTAGCTAAATGAATCGATTACAGGATCAATTAGACATCTGGGTTTTTGTTATTAACGCTCTATAAGGAGTTAATGATTATATTCACGCTCTTATTTTGAAGTGCCCGTTATTAGTTCCATTTCCTTTCTTCACATTTTGCCAATAACTTTATTTCACACAAATCAAACAGGAACAAAATAAAATGTTGTTGTAGCGCTGTAGCATTAGCGCCAGCTAAATGTTGTTGTAGCGCTGTAGCATTAGCTCCATTTGACATTTTTTCAGTGAAAGCAATCTGCTGTAAGAAAACCTGAATTTATGTCAGATTGTTTTCTTCTGCTGGACGTCAAACACTGAACTCTCAACTCGAACGTTAACCGAGATTTCTCCTTGTTGCTGGGCGGAAAGAGGCCGAGTTTAAAGGAGGGAAACGATTGGAAGCCATGAACCACTGAGAGAGGAATGATGGATGGATGATCTCTTAACCCGGACCAAAGCTGGCAAAGCAGCAGAAATGGTTCTGCTGTGGTTCTGCTGTGGTTCTGGTCTAATCATCATAATTCATGTTAATCCCAGTAATCCCAGCACCATCCCCTCAGTGTTTCCAGTCTTTGACCTCTTGACCTCTGGGTTTTCCAGTGTGACTGCAGTGCTGGTCCAGCAGCGTCGTTAGCGCAGCCGCTAATCAGGTTAAGCTATTAAAGCCCGGCTGGGGGGAACTGGGTCAGGAGGAGCTAAAGGCTGCAGCACAAGGCGCCGCGCTCTGCTGCAGCTGCTGCAGACAGAGGTCCGTCATTAAGCTGGCGCTTCCTGTCCTGACAGGGAGAGATTCTCCCACTGCGGTTCCTGACCTCAGTGCCGTTTGGATCAGAGGATCCAGCCTGGACCCATCAGAACCGCCGATGAAAGAGGAAGTCTGCGTCTCTCTGGCTGCTGGAGCCTGAAGCCGTGCGGAGCTCGGCCAAACGGACTCGGTTTGGAAAGTGCAGCGATTAGAACGAGCGTCTGCCCGACCATCTGCCTGTTGGACCCGGTTTCCCTGGCGGTTCAGGCCTAATCAGGATTTGCTGTTCACCTGCTCGCTGCTCTCTTCATCCCTCGGGGTCACGACCCGGGGCCAATGAGGCAGTCGGCGACGCGGCGCGACGGCGAGCGCTCGGCTGCGGCGGGTCGGTAACCCGCTGGACGGGTCGGAAGGATGGCGCCGCTGTGGAAGACGATGCTGTCGAGGAGCAGCCCGCTGTACAGAGACGCTCTGTTCTCCTTCAGCCTGTGGGAGTGGAAGGTGCAGGAGAGGGAGCTGCAGCAGCTGAAGAAGCAGGCGGACCAGGAGAGGAGAGCCATGCTCACACAGCTCCACAAGTAAGACTGACCCGGCCCAGCAGAACCCTGCAGAACCCTAAAACAGTTAGGGAGGGGCAACATGTCAGAAATTCAAATCAATTATAGCCAAAATCCAGAAACGTTTCATCCTTCAGTCTGGAACCTTCAGCTTTGCTCGCTGTAAACTTGACAACATGAGAACAAAACGATTAGATTTCCGGGTCGACCCTGCGGTCCCTTCAGTCCGGCCTCCAAACTGCACTTTATGCCAATGATGGGGATCTTGTTCCGGTTTAGATCCGGACCTTTGAAAGCCGCACAGAATCTTAAAGCTTCAGAATGGAAATGAGTTTTTACAGCAGAGCCGCTCATGCTAACCTGGATTTGATTCCTCTGGAATTAGCCGACAGCCATATTGTTTAGATCATCACTGCTGTTTGTGAGCCAGTCAAGCATCGATTCCTGTGACTTTCCATGCGTCTCGTTAATTAAATCAGCTGCAGGCCACACATTTCAGCTGCAGCCGTGTGGCCCGGTCCGTCCCCGTTTTTATTTTTATCTGGTGGCTGCTCCTGTGAACACGTGAGGCCTGCGGTCACTAAGAGGCTTCCCTGGAGCGGCGCCACACCTCAGCAGGTGACTCACTTCCTGCTAACGCTCATCAGGTCACAGTACAGGCGCTCTGACGTCCAGCTCAATAAACCCACTGAGCTTTACCCATCAACTCTCATCTCTAAATATTTAATAATCTCTACATTTCTAAAATATTTCAATTTGGCTTCTTCTTCCTGTGAATGTAACTCATCATTACTGGATGGAAGAACTGAGTTCAGGTAAAGAAAGTTGGCAACTTCAGGACAGAGCCAAGAAAGTTGCTATGAAGTAACGTAAATTGATACAAAGTAGCCGACATTGCAGCAGTGCTGAGCACAGCTAGCTGAAGAGGTAGTTATGCTAACCTAAAACCACTGAACATAAACACTAAAGCGCAAAAAAACACAGAATTTAGGGGACGCTAATTCTAACGTGCTACATCAGCAGTGGCTGCTAAAGCACTAAACTAACACAGTATGTAGCAGATGCTAATGCTAAAGCACTATACTAACAGTATTCAGCAGATGCTAATGCTAAAGCACTATACTAACAGTATTCAGCAGATGCTAATGCTAAAGCACTATGCTAACACAGTATTCAGCAGATGCTAATGCTAAAGCACTATACTAACAGTATTCAGCAGATGCTAATGCTAAAGCACTATGCTAACACAGTATTCAGCAGATGCTAATGCTAAAGCACTATACTAACAGTATTCAGCAGATGCTAATGCTAAAGCACTATGCTAACACAGTATTCAGCAGATGCTAATGCTAAAGCACTAACTACAATTTAAATTACATCTTCCTTCAAAGACTACAACCCTTGTGGACCAACTTAAGATTTTATGTTTGTGTTTGTTTTGTTCTTGTATTTATCTTATTTTAGAGAACAGGAAGAGAGGAAACGGAACCGCTGTATGCACATGTCAAAATAAGAGCATGAAGATAAGCTGCTAACTATTTAACACTAGTTAACCAAACAAATGTTGAAGTTTTTTCAACTGAAAGTTTTGAAAAGCAGGAAATTAGCGTTTTGGGGAAGCTGAATGTTTTCAAATTTAACAACATGCTAAAGCGCTAACTGAGACATTAGCAGATTAGCAGATTTCTCCTTCACCCCATCCAGTCAGCTGACTGGTTCAGTGTTGTGACCTTTGGCCTGCTGACTGAAACCTATAGCGTCTGACCTCAGTGTGGATCCGGTTCTGATGCCTGAGGTTTTTTATGTTTGTGTTTCTGTGTCAGGCTCAGTCAGGAGCTGCAGCAGAAGGATAAAGTTATCGAGTCTCTTCAAGCCAAACTCGACCAGCAGCATCATCATCATCTTCATCGCTCCGACTCACCCAGCAGCAGCCACGCCCTCTCTGACATCACCGACCAATCAGATCGCATCTCCTACGTGTCGGATGAGCACAGCTCCACCAACGGCGACCCGGACTTGTGCTGCGACGCAGACGCTGCCGGCGGACTCAAACCTGAGGAAAACAGGAACGCTACTGGAACCGGTGAGTGACCAGCAGGGGGCAGCAGAACACACATACAAACTGTTCAAATCTGACCAGCAGGGGGCAGCAGAACACACATATAAACTATAAACTGTTCAAATCTGACCAGCAGGGGGCAGCAGAACACACATATAAACTATAAACTGTGGCTGTGTGGCTAGAGTCTTGCAATCAGAAGGTTGCAGGTTCAAATCAGTCCATTTGGCTGTTTCTTTTGCATCTCATCAGTGAAACATTTTGCTCTCTGCTGTGTTTGGAGAACATCCTGTGGTTTTCCTCCCACGTTCTGCTTTGAGCTGTGGATCTAAATTCATGATGATTTCACTGCCTGCATGTAAGGAGAAGATTCTCGTCTGTTTCAGCGTCTCCGCAAGGCGCCGCGTCCCGCCGGCCGTCCGTCGGCTCCTCCCAACGCTCCCAGTCCTGCCTCAGCTGTCCCAGCATGCATTGCTCCAGCTCTCCGCTCAGGCCCGCAGATCTGCAGAGCCAATCAGGTGAGATGCAGCTGAAGCCCCGCCTTCTTCTGCTCATCACTCTTCCTCACCCTGTCTCTTCTCCCAGCCCCCAGTCGCGCCCCTCTCCCCTCCCCCATCAAACATGGCGGCCGCTCCCAGAGGAGCGCTGCGCCGGCTTTCTCTCTGGCTGCGGTTCAGCAGGAGCTCCAGACGCTGCAGAAGCAGCTGAGAGCCGACGGCAGTGAGTCGCTGCGACTCCGTCTGCATGGAGTTTACAGCCGCGTGAAAAACTAACACCCATTCATGAATGTTTCAAACCATATATTAGTAAGCTAAATGTTTGGTTTAGTAATATTTAGTTTCCTAAATATTTACAGACTATAAACTAAATATTTTCCTCAAATGTAAATATGTAGTCCCAGCCTAAATGTTTAGCTTTAAGCTAAATGTTTAGCTCAACCCGAACCCCACACTAAGCTAATAGTTACTTTAGCCTGTCTATAAACTCCTTGCATGAAGCGAGGGCTTTACAAACTGTTTCTAGAGAACAGGCTTTTATTTTGGTAGTCCACTTCCAGTTGTTGGCAAGAATTTGCACGTTCCCTAAATAGTAACCTGCTAAATGTTTCGCTCATTTAAGATTTGACAATAAATATTGAGTCTGAACCTCATTTTTTCTCCGATGACTGAATAAACCAAATTATTGCTGTCGATGTCTGACTGTGTAACTTTGCAAACGGCTGCAGATATTTTTGCATGAGTTTGCCGAGTTCTCAGCCCTGCGGCACGCCGGTTGTGTTTGGTCAAAGTCGATGTTTCCGTTAAACTGTGTGTGTGTTTCTGCTGTTGCCATGCTAGCATGCTAACGCGTTAGCGCTCTGCTCTCTGCAGGGTTTTCCACTCCCAGGTCTCTCCACGGTTTCCCCCGGTTCGTCCCTCAGCATCATGCCGACGCCGCCGGCTGCCTGCCGCTCTCCTACCAGGCCTTCCCTCCTCCGCCGTTCGGCGGCCTGGACGTCGCCATGGCAACGCGAGCCCGGGCCGGCCTGCCGGAGAGAGGCGCGTCCTGGGAAACGCCGTGCGGCGCCGGAGCCGACCTCTCGTCAGGGTCGTCGGGTTACCAGTCAGGAAGCGGACATGCAGGTTCGGCCGCCGCTCCTTACTTCCTGTTTGCTTCCTGTCCACTTCCTGTTTGCTTCCTGTCCACTTCCTGTTTGCTTCCTATCCACTTCCTGTTTGCTTCCTATCCACTTCCTGTTGGTGTTTCTGCTGCAGGTTCGGATCTGATGAAGGAACATCTGGCAGAGATCCGGAGTCTGAGGCGGAGACTGGAGGAGTCCATCCAGACCAACGATCGGCTCCGGCTGCAGCTGGAGGACCGGCTGGCCCACAGCGCCGGGGACAAAGGTGCTGAGTTCAAACTGCTTCCGGTTCTGGTTCTGGTTCTGGGTCTGGTTCTGGGTCTGGGTCTGGGTCTGGTTCTGGGTCTGGGTCTGGTTCTGGGTCTGGTTCTGGGTCTGGGTCTGGGTCTGGTTCTGGGTCTGGTCTGGTTCTGGGTCTGGGTCTGGTTCTGGTTCTGGTTCTGGGTCTGGTTCTGGTTCTGGTTCTGGTTATCAGTGAGATTTAAAGTGAATAAATTTTTAATAAATTAACTTATAAAATGTAAAAAATATTTTTGCTTTTTCAGTGAAATAATCATAACTGGAAGTTTGTCGTCAATATTAAGGATGATTGACAGAAATCCAGTCATTTGTTCTTTTTTGCATTGATATTTTTATGAAGAATCTGATCTGTTATTGATCTGTTATCGATCTGTTATTGATCTGTTATTGATCTGTTATTGATCTGTTATTGATCTGTTATTGATCTGTTATTGATCTGTTATTGATCTGTTATTGATCTGTTATTGATCTGTTATCGATCTGTTATTGATCTGTTATCGATCTGTTATCGATTTATTATTGATCTGTTATCGATTTCACGTCGGAGTGAAACAAACCGTCTGAATCAATCTGCTGATCCTGATCATATTTAAACCAACCCATAATAGGATTTAGTTTTTGCAGTGCTCACTGCTGTCCTGCCTGGTTCCTGCAGCTTCTTCTTCCTGTTTGTGTGATGACATCACGCATTGCATCACCAGGTTGATGAAAACACGCATAATTAGTATTTTCTTTTTCGTATGGGAACATTTTGAAATTGGCCTCAGCGTCTCTTGATGACATCATCAAGAGACCGTCATCAAGTGTCTCTTGATGACGGTCTCTTGACACGGCGAGTGTCAGCAGGACTCATGGAGCCGAGGCGGCAGCGTTCCGGATCCCAGTTCCACTGAATTCCTGCTGATTTTCCAGGAGCTCCGACCAACATCTACATCCAGGGCCTGGACTCGGCCGGCCAGCTGTCCGCCGAGCTGCGCCTCCTGCAGGAGGAGAACGCCGCTCTGCAGGCGCAGCTGCAGCGCGCCAGCCGAGGTGATCCGCATCTCCGACAACATCAGGAAAACTCTGGAAAACAGAATGAACTCAATGTTTTACCTGCAGAGGGCAGCAGAGAGGCGGAGCTTCGCAGGGAGGCGGAGCATCTGAGGGAGGCGGTCCTCCGGGAGCGCGCCAGGCTGAAGGAGGCGGAGCTACAGACACAGAGGTGGGCGGAGCTCAGTCAGAGGCTGCAGGCGGAGGATGCCGTTCGCTGCCAGGAGGTGGCGCAGCTGAGAGAAGACGGGCAGAGAAAGCAGGAAACCATCAACAGGTCCAAGTTTTCCTTCACTATAAGTTTTAATTTTACTGAAAGTCTTTCTGCTAAAATAAGATTTCTGTGACGTTTGTCTTAACACCCTGTTAGTGAGGCATTTCATGTTTTACATCGATTTCCTGAGGAAACTCAGACATGGCGTTTCCATCTCTCGCCATTCCAAGACAAACAAAACTTTACCTGAAAGAAAGAGCCAAACTATTTGGAATATTTTTGAGTTATTTTCATGGAATCATGAAATCCATTTTTATTGTTTTTTTTCATGTTGGTGTCTGAGTAGTTAATGAAGAACCGTTAACTAGCAGTTAATTCATAGAGTTTCCACCAGTTTCTGCATCAAGCAGATCCTGAGTGAAACATGTTTTCACTCAGGATCTTTAGAGGAATTTGACGTTCATCACTCCGACTGTAAATGAAATAAACCTAGGATGTTTTTGCTCATTTATTGTGAGAGAATGCAGAAGAACAGATCTCCACATGTCCCCTAGGGGGCGCTGCTGGAGGAAAACCAGCAGCATGACGTTAGTTTGTCTCCAGGCTGCAGCACGATGCGAGCGTCCTGCGTCTGCAGCTGGACCAGAGCCGCAGTTTGATCCAGGCGCTGCAGGAGGCGCTGCAGGACGCAAAGAGCCGCGTCTGGGAAAACTCCAGAGACTCACAAGCAGGTAGAAATTAGAAAACACAAACATTAACCAATCACATCGCACCAGAAACTATATATCAACAAAGTAAGCAATATTTTCAATTCTGTTTTTTCTCTTAACAAATTCTTTAAAAATGTAACTGTGTATTGAAAAAACTGTGTAAACAATTAAATAGTTTCCTCATGATGACCAACTGCTTTGACACTTTCCAGTCTGGTTTTCGTGCTCACCACAGCACGGAGACTGCCCTAGTCAAAGTATTCAATGATATCCATATAAATACAGACTGTGGCAGAACCACAGTGCTGGTTCTGGTTCTGGTTCTGTTGGATCTCAGTGCAGCTTTTGACATATTACTGAATGGACTGGAGAGTTGGGTTGGACTCTCCGGTTCGGTGCTCGACTGGTTTGAATCTTACATAAAGAACAGGAATTTCTTTGTTTCAATTGGAAACTTCTCATCAAAGAGGTCAAAGGTCACATGTGGGGTACCCCAAGGTTCAATCTTAGGACCCCTCTTATTTAATATTTATATTCTCCCACTAGCTCAGGTTATAACAGGAAATAATATTAGCTACCACAACTGTGCAGATGACACACAGCTCTACATTATGATGTCACCAGCTGACCTTTGACCCCATCCAATCACTGCATAAATGCTTAGAACAGATAAATGTGTGGATGTGCCAAAACTTTCTACAGCTGAACAGAAACAAAACTGAAGTCATTATTTTTGGACCTAAAGAGGAACGATCTAGAGCTATAGATCTAGAGTTATAGATCTAGAGCTATAGATGTATAGCTCTAGATTCTAGAGTTATAGATCTAGAGTCAATGTACAGCTTCAGTTATTACAACTAAAAACTAGCGATCAGCCTGATACCTGGGAGTCGTGATGAACTCACACCTGAACCTTCAGAGTCACATAAAGATAGTTACAAAGTCGGCCTTCTATCACCTGAAGAACGTCTCCAGGATTAGAGGACTAATGTCTCAGCCAGATCTAGAGAAACTCATCCATGCGTTTATCTTTAGTCGCATTGATTATTGTAACAGCGTCTTCACAGGCCTGTCCAACAAATCAATCCTCCAGCTGCAGCTGATCCAGAAGCTGCTGCTCGTGTTCTCACTAGAACCAGGAAGATAGAGACATAACAGCAGTTTTAAAGTCCCTCCACTGGCTCCCTGTAGCTCAAAGAATAGATTTTAAAATACTGTTGTTAGTTTACAAATCACTGAACGGTTTAGCACCACAATACATCAAAGATCTGCTGTTGTTGTATCAACCTTCCAGACTCTCAGGTTCTGGTTCTGGTTCTGCTCTGCATCCCCAGAACCAAGAGAGGAGAAGCAGCTTTCAGCATCTATGCACCAAACATCTGGAACAAACTTCCAGAAAACTGTAAAACAGCAGAAACCCTGACTTCCTTTAAATCTCAACTAAAAACCAGCTGATTAGAGTTTGATTAGAAATGTAATATGGAACAATGTGTTGTTTATTATATGTTGCATGACTTTGTGTTCTTGTGTTTATGATGTAAAGCACTTTGAAATGCCTTGCTGCTGAAATGTGCTATACTAATAAAATTTGATTTGATTTGATTTTGATTTATGCTGACATTAGCGTTAGCTGCTCCATGTTAGCATTGAGATGCTATTTTAGGCTAGCATAGCTAGGCTAACGTCTTTTAGCACAACTAGAACACATCAGTAGTCATTTCAGATCGTTTAAAACAGAAAGTCTTCGTCCTCCATCGCGTCGCGGAGGCAGCTGTCCCGTCAGATTCAGGAGCGTACCAGAAACATGTGAATGCAAAGGTTCCAGGACCTTTTCACTTTAAAAAATACTTCTATCAGAATTATTTAAAAATTAGTCAAATTAAATGTAAATGTAAAGTTAAATGTTAAAATCTATCTAATGTTAATCAGAATCCTCGACTTTGGTTTTAGTATTTCTTTATAATTAGTCCAGACCAGAGAAACAAGAACAGAAAGAATGAAGTTATTATCTGAAATAACTGCAGCAAATGAATAACTGGACAGCAGTAGGAGGAAGATGAGTGAATTTCATTTTTCCAGATATTTTGAGTCATCATTTATAACTAGAATGTGTGAATAATCACTGATCTGGAATCAAACGCTGCGTTGGAGCTTCACTAGCATTTTAAGCTAATAGCATGTAAGCTAACCCAAACAGACAGAATGAATCGGAAATGATCTGATTTACATCGGCTCCCTGTTCAGACTGAGTTCCTACACTTTGTGTTGCTGAGCAGGTGAGGTGGGTAATGGTGCTCTGCCAGTGACCTTTGACCCCAGAAAGCTTCACATCCAGCTGAAGCAGCAGCTGAGCAGCCAGCCTGCAGCCAGGAGGCGACTCTTCAGCGGTCAGTTCGTCTCCACGCCTGATTTTAACTGGGAAACTCCAAACCTGTCAGCGTTTTCCAACAGGAAGTGTTTTTGTTCTGCAGGTGAAGACGTTTCTCCGCCCATCCGAGACAGCGGCCCAATCCGAGACAGCGGCCCAATCCGAGACAGCGGCCCAATCCGAGACAGCGGCCCAATCCGAGACAGCGGCCCAATCCGAGACAGCGGCCCAATCCGAGACAGCGGCCCAATCCGAGACATCCGTCCCGTCGCTGCTCCGTCTCGGTTTCCTCCCGGCCAGGCGGCTGATCCAGGTCAGGCTGATGTTCAGACTGTAACAGATCTCAGGTCTGCAGCTCTTCATTTCTCCCTGGTTTTCCTGCAGCTGCCTGCGCCCAGCAGGGCGGCGCTCCCGAGGGAGGCCATCGTGCCGTCGGCCATCTTGGAGACCTCCGGGCCCTGCAGCAGCAGCTCCTGGATGGGGGCGCCCTGGCTGCTCAGATGGAGGCTGCCCTGTGTTCCCTGAGCGCCTCGCAGAGGCTTCAGCAGGTCAGAGGTCACACAGATGTTAAGGGAGAGCTGTGATGCAAAATTTACTTTTCATGTTTTTATTCTGCGGTTTGAGTTTTTAGTGCTTCTAAAAGACACTCAGCTGTTTTTAGGCAACAAGTTAATCCAGACCTGTTACAGCAAACAATAAATCCATAAATCGCATCATAAACTAAAACAAATTCAATATTTCCGGGTTCCGCCGGTTACCTAGCAACCCCAGCAGAGTTCCGCCCGTTACCTAGCAACCCCAGCAGAGTTCCACCCGTTACCTAGCAACCCCTGCTGAGCCCCAGCCTGTTTCTGTTTCAGCCTTTGGACCCAGAATGCATCAGTAATCTGCTGGCGGACTCTAAAACCCTGAAGCGGATCCTGCAGGAGGCGGAGTCTCTGCTGCAGGCGACCTGGACGGCGGATCTGAGCCACTCTGAGGAAACCAGACAGGTAAAAACCTCATCTGCATATTTAAAGCAGCGGACATAAAGCAGATGCAGACCGAGCTGCTGTGTCGTCTAGGACAAGTCTCTGAGGGACGAGTCTCTGAGGGACGAGTCTCTGAGGGACGAGTCTCTGAGGGACGAGGTCGCCTGTCTCCGGGTGAAGCTCTCAGAGCGGGACCAGGCTCTAAGGGACGCCATGGAGAGACTGAAGAGCTCCAGCCTCACCAAGGACAGCATGGAGCAGTTCATCGTTAGCCAGCGTGAGTAAAGCCGCCATATAACCTTTAAACATCTGTAACAATGATTACTGTTTTTCTTTCAGAGAGATTTAATCCAAAGTAGATTATAAACCACCAGAGCCAATCAATGAGTTTTGATTGGCTCTGGTGGTTTAATGTTCTACTTTTCTTTTTGTGTCCAGTATCGAGGACGCGGGACGTCCTGAGGAGAGCCAAGACCAACCTGCAGGTGAGTCTCTGGTTCTGTTCTCTGGTTCCAGTGAGAACCGTTCCCTTCACGTTTCTCCTGCTGCTTCCTTTTCTGTCGTCTTGCTGAGTTTCTCCAGGAGAACAAACTCAGGATCTGCTCCCTTCCAGCCTCTGTCTCTGTCCCGTCCCCCCCCTCCGGCCCAGTGAAGGTACCGGTTCTTTAGACCGCATGCTGCTTCATAACGTTTCCTCCTGAACAAACCTGCAGCTGCTGCCCTGCAGAATCCTCTCTGATCCGGATGAAGATCAGAACCTTCAGCTCCTGCTTTTTCTTCCAGGTGAAAACCCAGGGGGCGCCACTGAGCTCAGCTCCCCTGCTGGTTGGAGCGTCCTGACACCCTGGGGCCCGGCGCCCCGGTGGCCCGGCCCGGCTCCGGCTGAACCCGCCCTCAGTGAAGAACCTCCAGACTTGAAGCTGCAGGTTGAGAAAGCCTGAAGCCAGAATCTGGACCCTCAGAGATCCCAGACGCAGTTTCTGAACCTGGAATCACAACCAGAACCTGCAGGTCCAAAGTCCTCATCCAGGTTTCCAGGAGGAAAGTCTGGTGAAAGCAGAGAGCTTCTTTGCTGCCTGTGTTTGTGTTCAGTGGAGACGAAGCCATGATGTTACTGGAACCTGTTCGTAGTTAAATCACTGGGAAAATCCTCAAAACACAGAAACGAACGAGACCAACAGAAAATTCCTTCTTTTGTTTCACCTTCTCAACCTACAAAGTATTATTATGATTTCAGAAACTGGTACATGTAAATCTGAAACTGGAATCAGCCGGAACCGGGTCGGACCTCATGCAGTCTTTCCAAGCTCCTATCAAGGTGTTGGTCAGGTGTTTCCAGGACCTTGGCCAGGTGTTTCCAGGACCTTGGCCAGGTGTTTCCAGGACCTTGGCCAGGTGTTTCCAGGACCTTGGCCAGGTGTTTCGGGTCTCCTGGAGCCTCATGGCTTCCTGCTTGGTGGCGGCGCTGATCCCGACCTGACGTCAGCAGAAGTGATGCGTTCAGTGACGGCGCAGTCCAAACCGCGGTCCGGTCGGGTTCTGCTGGTTTCGGCGTTGTCCCTCCAGTGTGAACGTCGCCGTGGTGATGAGGTTTATGTTTGGTTATCTTAGTTTTCTTTGGTATATTCCTGGTTATTCTTAGTTTTTAGTTAATTTTTCAGAAATTTGCAACTTTTGGGCCTTGTGTGGTTGCCATGACGTCTCTTAAAGCTGTTGACAATCAGTTTTAGGTGCTGATATTTATCTGCGTCTGGCTTTAAATGCTCAGTAGGAGACGTAGCAGCATTAACCTTCACTGTCGTATTTATGGAGCAATAAGGCAAACCAAAGCAGACGGCCTGTTTGTCAGCAGGTCGGGTCCAAAGTGACCCATTTAAAGAGCTAACGGCTAATCGGATAAACGTTGGGATGCTCAGAAACCAAAGCTAACGGAGGAACTGCAGCACTTTCTGCTGTTGACCTGCTGGATTTTTATGCATGTTCTCTTTGCTCAATTGTTTTGAGATAAAAATAAAACAATGTTTTCAATAAAACTAATAAATCTGGTGGAAATGAACTACAGACTTGTTTTCTGTTTCACAGCCACACTAAACAGAATTAGATTTTCCTTTTGCTTTTTTTCCAACTTAAATGTTGGAATCAAACAGATTTTAACATCAGATACACATAGCTCCAGTTAATACAAAAGGCAGTTTCCGAACAATATTTTTATTTATTAAGGGAAAAAATCACCCAAATCAATCAAATAAGGAAATGACGTGTAACTGCCGACAGGGGGCAGCAGACTGCAGCAAACAGCGTCAGATCAAAATGTTCAGATAAACTGGATAAATATGAATAATTGTAACAATAATACAGTCTCTCTGTTTCCATGAAAAGTTTCTGCTTTCTCTAAATTTTATTCATTATTTTGTCTTTTTTTTCTTTATCAGAGCTTGTGTGACGCTGAACAGCAGAGAGGAAGCAGATTAGACTTCCCTCCAAAATAAAAGGCATCTATTTTCCGTCACATTTTTTCCTCCTCATTTCTACAGACGTTGAATCATCCAGAATATTCCAGAATAACTGATTTAAAAAATTAAACTCATATTTAGAGACTGGTGCTGCTGGAAGGATGAAACGAGGTGCATCGCGTCAAAATAAAAACTAAGTGTTTATAAATGCTAACAGGAAGCTTTAAGAGTTTATTTTAAAATATTTCATTTTTTTAAAGTTTGATTTTTTTATTTTGGAAGCCAGGTTTTGGTAATATTTCTTATGTCTGTACATTTATGACTGAGTTTCTTTTGTGACCTTTTGACATCTACAAAATTATAACTTAAAGTAGCTATATGCCATTTTGAATGATGGTGTATCTGGTCTGAAGGTCTGGAGAGCTGGTCTAAGAGTGCTTTCGTCCTGAAGCCCTACAGGAAGGTAGAGAGACTGTAGCTACAATTATTACTACTTATAATAACAATCATTTATATTGTTATTATATAATAATTATTTTAATATTAAAAGTAATAATTACTAGACTACTGAAGCAATGGAAACTTTCTGAACTTTATTTTTTTTAGTTACACTTTAAAACGCATCACATCAAAGAACCGACAGAAACATGTTTGTGAACAGGCTTTTATTTTGGAATGCAAGCACCGGAAGTGGCTTCATTCCTGCTGTTAGCTTGACGTCGCTTTGACCCGCAGAGCGACGGTGTCAGAGTCAGGAAACAGACAGAACCGAGCCGAACCGCCGCAGCTCCAGGAGAGATTAGCCGGTGTCCGCGGCGCTGAGCTCAGGGTTTATCCGGGGATGGAAGACCCTCCCCGGAGGACAGACGCCGCCTGAACCGGAGCCGCCGAGAAACGGTTCCGCCGTTCGTTAGGAACGGGCGAGTTTATCCCCGAGGTTCCGGTCGTATTGGGGCAGGTAGCAGAACCTCGACTAGCTGTTCCTTTAGCTGCCCCGGATCCACCAGCCATTGACGGGTTAACTCCTGAAGCAGCAGGTTCGGGTGGCCGGGCCGGGTCGCAGGGCGGGAATGGCCGCGGTTCTCCTCCCGAACGTTGCGTTACACGTGTGAACCCGGTCCGCTGCTTATCCCGGGGTATTGTCTGGAAGGACACACTGCTGCTTCTGCTCCCCCCCAGATGTGGAGCCAAGTTCGGGCTCGGAATGGCCGCTGAGCGGACATGGCGGGCTGGAAGAGACTCCTGACGGGAAGGATCTCGGCTCTGAACCCGGAGATGAGTTTTATTCTGGCGGTCAGGTGTTACTGAAGCGACCCGGGTTCACTGCACCAGAACCGGTTTGGTTACCGAATTTTTTTTTATCAGAAACGGTGTTTTTACTCTGCGGAGGAGATGAAGAGGACGGAGAACAAGAACAAGAGGAAGCTGAGCAGTTTGGAGCAGCAGGAGAGCGGAGAGCAGCAGAAGGATGAGGTGAGCCTGTCAGTCCGCGCACTGGGCTGAAACTCTGTTTGCTCTTAAAGTTCAACAATCTGATCAATCTCTGACTTTTCAAATGATTATGCGGAAATATTAGCCCCGCAGCAACAATTATGCATTTTTAAAATGAGAAAAATGCAAATTGACCCAGTAAAGCAATAAAAACAAAAATATTTAAGCTAAACTTTCAGTGAACTGAGATATGAATTTCATACAGACTATAAATCTAGAATACGTTTTTAAATTAAATGTTTTCCATTTAATTTAAAAACGGAACATTTTGAAACAGAATTTTTTACATCCAATTTTTTTAGATGTTCAACAATTTATGATGCATTAAAATGTAAGAAAATTTGCTTTAATTTCTAGTAGAAATATTCCAAATAAAGAATTTGAGTCGATATTGATATTATTACCTTGTCTGATAATCAGTAGTTATGATATTTCATATGTTCCTTGAACTTTCAATACTGTGTGAAAATATCAGCTTATCGGATCAGGATCAGCCGATACGATGCCGATATATCGTGTATCACTAATTTTGCGAAGCCACTTTTAAACTTGAATGTGTTCCACTTTCATTGAATAAAAAATTATGTTTTGACATAAAACATGGATTTTTAACACCAATATCTTGACCCTAAAGTTTTGGTAAAATCTCAGATTTTATGTAAATTTATGTAAAGTTTTGTTTTTCTTAGACAGAATTTTGATATTGTTTTCTGTCTTCATCTTAAATTAAATGTTAGAAATGTTTCTGGTCATTTTTACCGAACCGATGTGGTTCTGACCCGTTTATATTTTGAGAGCGTGGCTCTGGTTCTGATCCGCAGCTGGTTTTGTCATAACGCCGTCCTGAAGGATTGTTTGTAATTCCTCTGCAGGGTGATTATGTAAGCTGGACGCTGGTCCGGTCCGGTCCGAAGGCAGCAGATTCTGCTCAGTCACTGCAGGTTCTGACCGGGTTCTGTTGGCCGGTGCTGGTTGTGTGGCATCTGGAGAAGCTGAATCAAGCTGTTCACACAGCTGATATTTAATCATTAAACTGTTGAAACTGAATCCTTAAAAAGGTTCAAGCATTTATTGGTTGGTGATTTTAGTGCGTCGTCAGTGATTGGACCCTCAGGTTCATCAGCTCTTTAGCTGCTGCTCAACTTTTGGGCCCAGATTTAAACAGATTTATATCTTGATGTTGAGTTTTTCATATATGTATATATTTTCTGCAAAGATGCAGAAATATTCAAACCTGCACCAGGATCCATGTGCTGGGTTCTAGTCTAGTCTAGGCTATGCTATGCTAGGCTAGGCTATGCTGTGCTAGGCTAAGCTAGGCTAGGCTATGAAGAGAACTAGCAGTAGAGTCCTGTCTGGACAGGTTTTGTTTGGTCCAGTTTGCAGTCCATGCTCCTCTGGACCTTTGACCCGGCGGCTTGTTTACTCAGAACTCTGTTTACACTGATGATCCGGTTCTGGGTCAGTGACCCGGCTCCATGGAAGCAGTAAAGCAGATAACGGGTCGGTTCTGGTGGATGCTGCTCAGTTGTTTTAGTTATTGCACCGAGGAACCGACCCTGGTTCTGGTTCTGTTGACCCACGCTGTTTTTTATTTTTAATCAGTTATGAGGCAAAACCTGGAACTGCTGCTGCACCAGTTACTCAAAATGTTGTTGCTAGGTAACCAAAGAGTGAGTTAGTTGATGGCGCCCAGCTAGCTTAGCTAGCCGTGAGAGGACGAGCGGCTGAAGTCTTTCCTCTGCCCACATCTCCCAGAATGCTGTGTGGTTCTGGATCAGTTCAGTTAATCTTCAATATATAGATTCTTCTGGTGTTTGTGACAGGTTCTGTTCTGCAGCAATAAACAAAATCCCAATTTTCCTAAAGTTACTGCGGCTAGTTGGTTCTGTCTGTGACTGTTCAGTTTCCATGCTGTTCTACACCCACCAGTTCTATAGCGCCCGGTTCTACACCCACCGGTTCTACAACCGGCGGTTCTACAGCGCCCAGTTCTACACCCGGCGGTTCTACAACCGGCGGTTCTACAGCGCCCAGTTCTACACCCACCGGTTCTACAACCGGCGGTTCTACAGCGCCCGGTTCTACACTCGTTTGATCCTTAAATCCTGCTAGTAGTTTATAAATCACTGAACGGACTGAAGATCTGCTGGTAAGCAGCATTCAGCATCTATGCACCACAGATCTGGACCGTTGGGCTGCATCAACGTGTGCTGCAGCGTGTTCTGACCCGCCGCTGACAGACGGTACCGCACGGCAGCTGATCAGCCAGAAACACAGCTCTGTTTACAACAGGAACTATGGCAGGCCGTTTTATCATAAAATCAGCTTCACCACACTCAGACATCTGAATCTGGCTTATTTTAGTTTAGTTCATTAGGATAATTCTAATTAAAGTAATTCACCATTAAATTATTGAAAATATTGATAATTAATTTCTAGTTATCCGAGTTTTAATAAAATTGACTAATCGTAAAGTGAATATATTTAGTTTTTTATTCTGACTACTTAAATAAATCTTAAAGGAAACCTTCTGAAAAGCCCATTAAAGTGTCGACTGCAGCACTTCCTGCTCTTCAAAGACGTTTTTAAATGCATTTTTTGTGTCTTGGCAGAAAACATATCGGGAATCCTTTCAGATTTCTGCAGCCGTCTTCAGATTAACAAAGTTCTACTTTCATCCCAAACTGCTGAACTTTCTACTTCCTGGCATTTTCTGACAATTTGTGCAGGAAACTCAAAAGAGGAAGTGGCAACCTTATGTTGTCCCTATTCACATATCTAAAAATGAAATGTTGATGAGTCATGATTAAATCTGATATCTGTTGAGTTATAACTGGATCTTTCACCCTCCTCATGACAAATCCGGTGACGCCATCTTGAAAGGAATTTCCTCAAAATGTAATTGGAGATGATCTTGATTTGTTGCTAGGCAGAATATCAACACAGATACCAGGATAGTAACGTTAGTAAACTCCTGTAAAGTACTACTGTAGCTGTGTTGGGTCAAAAGTCGGTTTTAGAAATCTGGCATGTAATTACAGATCGTCAGGTGAAACTGATTTTATGTTAACACAACTTGCCGTATCCAGATAAACATTTTCTGGGTTTCCAGCAGAAAGTTCTGGAGTTGTGAGCGTTTTCCATCTGCACAGGAAGCTGCATTAGCATCAGTGTTAGCTCATCGTTAGCATCAGAGTGACGGCATTCAGCTGCAGCTATCAGCGCCTCCTCCCTCTTTATCAGCGCCACATTTTCTCAGACGCCCCCAGAAACGAACCGACACAGGGCATCAGTTCCTGAGTGACAACGTCTCACCAAATGCTGCAGCCAATCACTTTCCTTACTTTGTGGTTCATGTTCAAACTGCTGATTTGGGACTTTTAAATTTACCAAAATAAAGTGAATCTGAAGTAGTAATTAGTTGAACTGATATTAGCTAGCTGACTAGCCACTGTAGTATAAGCTAATAAACTCAAAATGCTGATATGAGCTAGCTAATTAACTGGGATAATATTATCTGTCCGACGCAATATTAGCTGAATCACTAATCGGATTAACATTAGCTTCCTAATTAGCCTGATTGATGTTAGCTGGCTAATTTGCTGACCTAATAATTGCTGGTTCACTAACTGTTTTTTTAGCTGGTTTGTTCTGGCTAACTAGCTGCCTTGTTATCAGCTGATATTAGCTGCCTGGTTAGCCTGTGTAATATAAGCTTGTGGCTTTTCTGTGCTAAGATTAGCCGTGTTTTTCTCTCAGCTTCCCCTTGAAGCTAGTAAACACGAGGCTGAACCCTGGTGTCTTGTGTCAGGAGCATGTTGGTCCATAAATCAGACTGCAGAGCTGCTGGTGTTTCCTGTCTGCTCAGGAAACTGTCATGGCCGAAGCATCAAACTGTTATTGTTGCACTGATTCGGTGGAAGATGTGATCTTATCGAAGTCTGCATGTTTGAACATGATTCCAGCTCTGCAGCAGAGACCCAGGGACAACTGGTGCAGCGCGCCGACTCTTCCTGCCTCCACCCGCCACCCGTTCTCCACCCGAACCCTGCATTAGCCGTCTGTAGCTGTAAGAAACAGCTATTAAAAGATCAGGGAAACATGAGCAGAACATCCTGTTTTGGAGGAAACGCGAGTTCAGCATCAGAGAGACGGAAGGAAACGACTCTGAAGGATCCCTACAGACGCCTGAAGGGACCCAGAGGTTCTCCGGAGGGACCCAGAGGTTCTCCGGAGGGACCCAGAGGTTCTCCGGAGGGACCCAGAGGTTCTCCGGAGGGACCCAGAGGTTCTCCGGAGGGACCCAGAGGTTCTCCGGAGGGACCCAGAGGTTCTCCGGAGGGACCCAGAGGTTCTCCGGAGGGACCCAGAGGTTCTCCGGAGGGACCCAGAGGTTCTCCGGAGGGACCCAGAGGTTCTCCGGAGGGGCCCCAGGGTCAGGGTGTCCACCTCCTTAAAGGGACAGTGTCATCTAAAATGATGACACTGTCCCTTTCCATCAAGTTATGCGGTTACTCCATGGAGTGTAGCCCTCAGCTGTGCAAAACCCCTGGCTGGACCTAGACCTGCCTTCGGGCTCCTTCAGACTAGCCAGCAGCAATTAGCAAACAGCTGCTGCTCAGAGCAATGCTGGTAAAAACATTAAGGGGTTAATAGAGGAGCCATGTTGGAATGACTTTCTGGAGGCACAGCTTCAGAAACAAAAGGAATTCTTTTAAAGAGACAGAGACACAATTTCAAGGCGTTAAATCAGGGAGTAAAATGTCTTGAAAGTCACATTTTGATTTATGTAGCAAATTATAACTGAGGGTAATATAGTTACTTGATTTTGCTATGAAGTGGAAAACGTGTGATACTGCCCCTTTAAGAAGTCATTAATATTTTGGCCTTGAATAAGTTAATCGTCTTCAATTCTGTCTTGGCCAACTTTTTATTCATGTATATTTGGTGTTTTGTTTTCTCTCTCTGGACTTTTCTGTCCTGCAGAAGTTTAAGCTGCAAACATCATCACTCACTGCTCATGTAGCCTCGCTAGCTAGCTAGCTAGCTAGCTTTTCTTTGTTTTTTTTGCTGGGTAAGAGTAAATGTATGTCCAGATGAGCTTAGCATTTGTACATTTTTGTCTTGAGTTTGAGTTGGTGAAACCTGCTGGGGGTTTACTGGAGAACTTCACTTTATTTCTACAGATTCTGTTACATTTAGATCTGAACTTTGACTAGGCCGTTCCAACTCCTGATTCAGTTTTGATCTTAACTATCCCATAATGCGTCTTGGTATGTGTTTTTTGCAGCAGAATTTAGCTGCAGCTTCCCACAGCATGATGCTGCCTCTGCCGTGTTTTGGATAAAGCTGACCGTTCTCTCCTCCCTCTCTGCATGTTTCCATCTGATCTAACCTTTGACCTCTCTCTGACCCATGAGTTTCCTCATGAAGCAGCCAGCCGCCTCCCAGGATTAATGGAGTCCATGTCTGGCTTAGGTAACCATGGCGACATTGTTTGATGTAGCTCACGCCGCCGAGCTGTTCTCTGTAGCGTGAGAACAGCTAGAGCTGCAGGCGTGTTTCATGATGATGATGCTGATGATGATGGGTCCGGCATGTGGTTTCCTCGATGATGTCATGGCATCCTGAGGTCGTCTGACTCCAGATCAGGTGTGAAGCAGAAGAACATGGAGGAGCTCAGACAGCCGAGGAGAGATCGCCTGGCCTGGTTTCCATCAGACAGGAGGAGGCAGGTGATGCCTGGTCAGGTGACGTCACCAGGTGATGCCTGGTCAGGTGACGTCACCAGGTGATGCCTGGTCAGGTGACGTCACCAGGTGATGCCTGGTCAGGTGACGTCACCAGGTGATGCCTGGTCAGGTGACGTCACCGGGTGCACAAGGTCAGGAGTTTCTCATTTATGGTCTTTCCTGTCCTGCGAGATATGAATATTAGTTCTCGGTTTATGTTTGGTGTTTTTTTGGAGCGGCCACCTTTTCTCTCCTGGAGGTTTTTAAATGATTGTAATAAATAACTGAAGGTCTTTTTGCTGCAGCATCAATAATTCATGAACCTTAACAAGGTTCACTCCCTCCACACCTATCCCACGTTTACATCTTAAGGCTAATTAATTACTGTATGAATATGAATCGGGCTCATATTCATGCAAAGGTCCCAAGATCGAGGAACAGAGATGAAGCTCTTGGGGAGAAGCTGCTGCTTTCCATGCTCCATCTACTTCCTGTCTGGTTCTGTGATCCGGTCCAACTTCCTGGTTCTGATTTGCGCCAACTGTCGCTGCTGTTCTAGCACAGATGCATGATGGGAGGTTTTACCTTGTGTTTCTCTCTTAAAGGAAAACCTGTCAGTGTTTATGAAGAATATAATCGATATGTTATCAATAGCAACTGATTGGTTCTGTAGAACCAAGCTTTGTGTGTATTTAGGAGCAGTGTTGGTTCTGACGGGTCACTAGTGGCTCCATTTTCTGAAAGCGGGGTCACAGAAAGGTCAGAGAGCTGAAGCCAGCAGGATATATTTAACCTGTGACCCCTCTGACCTCAACCAGGCTTCACCTGCTGCCCCGATGCTGCAGCGCCTCCTGCAGGCCGCTGCAGGGTGGCGCCGCAGTTCAGTCACGTGATCTCCATCTGCGTTTACATCCCACCGAGAGCGGACGCTACCACTGCCTGTGAAAAAATCCACTCTGTCACAGCAGGGCTACAGACAAAACATCCTGACGCTTTTATTATAATCTCTGGGGACTTCAACCATGTGACCTTGGACTCTACTTTGGCCACTTTCCACCAAGCTGTTGACTGCCCCACCAGGAATAACAGGACAATCGACCTCCTGTATGCCAATGTGAGGGATGCATACAGAGCAACACCCCTACCCCCACTAGGGAAGTCAGATCACAACATCGTTCACCTACAGCCACTGTACACCCCCCTGGTCCAAAAGCAGCCTACAACAGCTCGCTCCATCAGGAGGTGGTCCCCTGAGATGGAGAGTGCTCTGAGAGACTGTTATAACACCACGGACTGGGATGCACTGTTCAGCCCGCATGGCCAGGACATAGAGGGGCTGACACACTGCCTGACGGACTATCTGAACTTCTGCGCAGATGTGGTATCCCCTGCTAAGACTGTCCGCTGTTACCCTAATAACAAGCCTTGGGTAACGCGGGAAGTCAAAACTGTCCTCAACAAGAAGAGGTTGCCTTCAGGAGAGGAGACAGGGAGGCCATGAAGGCAGCACAGCAGGAGGTGAAGCAGTGTGTGAGGGAAGCAAAAGACAGCTACAGGAGAAAGGTGGAGCAGAAGCTGAGAGAGAACAACATGAGGGAGGTCTGGGAAGGTGTGAGGACCATCACTGGCCTCAACACAAAGACCAGAGTCGTTGAGGGAACAATGGAGAGGGCAAACCAACTGAACAACTTCTTCAACAGGTTCAACCAGTCTGTGCCCCCCCAACCTCCTCTCTCACTGCAGCCACCTCTGCTCCTTACCACACACCTCCCCACAGACAACAAAACACTGACAACCCCCCCACACACCTCAGCACAACCTCCACCCCACATCACCACAGACCAGGTCAGAGAACAGCTGAGGAAGCTCAAGCCCAGGGAAGCAGCAGGGCCGGACCAGGTGTGTCCAAGGCTGCTGAAGACCTGCGCTGCTGAACTGGGAGAGCCACTACAGCGGATCTTCAACCTCAGCCTGCAGCTAAGGGAAGTGCCCACCCTCTGGAAGACATCCTGCATCGTCCCAGTGCCCAAGAAGAACAGGCCCAGCGAGCTGAATGACTTTCGGCCCGTGGCACTCACTTCACACCTGATGAAGACGTTGGAGCGGCTCTTCCTCGGCCTCCTCAGACCTCAGGTGGAACATGCTCAGGACCTCCTGCAATTCGCCTACCAGGCAGATGTTGGTGTGGAGGATGCCATCCTCTACCTGCTGCACCGGGCCCACTGCCACCTGGATAAGGGCAGTGGCACAGTGAGGATCCTTTTCTTAGACTTCTCCAGTGCCTTTAATACAATCCAGCCCCTTCTGCTCCAGGACAAACTAAACAGCATGGGAGTGGACCAGCACCTGGTCACCTGGATCCATAGTTACCTCACCAACAGGCCGCAGTATGTCAGGCTAAAGGACACCGTGTCTGACACTGTGGTCAGCAGCACAGGAGCCCCTCAGGGCACAGTGCTGGCCCCTCTTCTCTTCACCCTGTACTCCTCTGACTTCCACTACAACTCGGAGCTGTGTCACATACAGAAGTATGCAGATGACACAGCCATAGTCGGATGTATCAGGGACGACGGAGAGGAGGAATATCGCTGTCTGGTGAGGGACTTTGCTCTCTGGTGCCACACAAACCACCTGGAACTCAACACCTCTAAGACGAAGGAGCTGGTTATAGACTTTGGGAGGTCCAGACCAATGCCGAGACCAGTCGTACTAGAGGGAACGGAGGTTGAGGTCGTGGGCTCCTACAAGTACCTCGGGCTGTGGCTGGACAGTAAACTGGATTGGTCAAAACACACCAGCCACCTGTACGGGAAGGTGCAGAGCAGGATGTACTTCCTGAGGAGACTGCGGTCCTTTAACATCTGCAGCAAACTGCTGTGGATGTTCTACCAGTCAGTGATCGCCAGTGTCCTCTTCTACACCGTGGTGTGCTGGGGAGGCAGCACATCCAAGAAGGACACGTCCAGACTGGACAAACTGATCAGGCGTGCCGGCTCTGTGGTCGGCATGAAGCTGGACTCTCTGGTGACGGTGGCAGAGGCGAGGACACTGAACAAACTGCTGGACATCATGGACGATAGCAGCCACCCTCTACATGCCGTCATCAGCAGCCAGAGGAGCCTGTTCAGTGACAGACTGCTGCTTCCCAACTGCCGGACCAATAGATTCAAGAACTCCTTTGTCCCCCACGCCTTCAGACTGTACAACTCCTCACTGGGGGGTCGGAGGTGACACAGGACAGAGGGAAGAAGGAGTAGTTTTTCTACAAATGTGATCAGGCCAAACCATACAATACAATACCATATCACTGGTCAATCTATCCACCAAATTGCTATAATTTCCTTTTGTGTTGTATTTATATTCTTTGTTTTGTATTTAATTTGTATTTTTTTGTATTCTTTTGCGTATGCTTACTGTGTGCCACATTTTTGCCTGTGAGCTGCTGGTAACTATAATTTCCTGAGGGAGTCTTCCCAAGGGATCAATAAAGTCAAGTCTAAGTCTAAGTTCTGGTTTGTGCATATAGAGGCCTGTGATGAGCAGCTGTGGTTCTGTAGAACCCAGCTGGTTCTGGGCTCAATCCGCCACCTGCTGGTTGCAGCTGGAGCTGCATGTAGCTGGTTGGTCTATTTTAAAGCAACTTGATGAATGAATGGATGAATGAGTGGATGAATGGATGAGGTGTACTAATCTCAGGGTGAAACTGACAGTTCTGTTCATCCCGTCCAGAGAACGTAACAGAACCAGCCGGTTGGACTTTTCAAGCAGAAAAAATAAAAAAAGTAAAAAGATGAATAAAATGTTGAAAAATCAAAGAATCTCAGTTTGTAGTTTTTGTTTCTCTGCTGCTGATCCTGGTTTTAGGAAAAGCTGCTGGTTCAATTCCAGGTCTGGACTTTTTTCTCCCGTTCAACGAAAACAATAAAAACTTTATTTAAAAAAATAAGAACAAAGAAGAGAAACCAGATGGATAAACTTTGAAAAGTATTTTGTTCAAATAAATTATTTATCTTTACAAACATTTTAATGTTTTTGATGTTGCACATTTAAAAAAATAGAATAAATAATAACAATAAATCACATTTCTGCACATTCTATTTATTACAGATAACAAACCTCAGATCAGAGCCCTTGAACCCGGTTCCGGACCAGAACCCGTCTCACCAGAACCGTCTTCTTGTTTCTTCCAGAAGGAGTTTGCGGCTCCGCCCCCTCTGCTCTTCAGGAAGCTGAGCAATCCCGACCTGTCGCCCGCGGCAACCAGCGCCACCAAGTCCAAACTGCACCGCCAGCTGAGCCAGGACGAGAACCGGGCCCGCCGCAGCAGCCTGGCCATGACCGGTAGGTACCGTCTGGGTCCAGAACCTGGTCCTGATGGACCTGATGGTTCTGATGAACCTGGTGGTCCTGATGGACCTGATGGTCCTGATGGTTCTGATGGACCTGGTGGTTCTGATGGTCCTGATGGTCCTGATGGTTCTGATGGTTCTGATGGACCTGATGGTTCTGATGGTCCTGATGGACCTGATGGTTCTGAAGGTTCTGATGGTTCTGATGGTCCTGATGGTTCTGATGGTCCTGATGGTTCTGATGGTTCTGATGGTTCTGATGGTCCTGATGGTTCTGATGGTCCTGATGGTTCTGATGGTTCTGATGGTTCTGATGGTTCTGATGGTTCTGATGGTCCTGATGGTTCTGATGGTCCTGATGGTTCTGATGGTTCTGATGGTCCTGATGGTCCTGATGGTTCTGATGGTCCTGATGGTTCTGATGGTCCTGATGGTCCTGATGGTTCTGAAGGTTCTGATGGTCCTGATGGACCTGATGGTCCTGATGGACCTGATGGTTCTGATGGACCTGATGGTCCTGATGGTTCTGATGGTTCTGATGGTTCTGATGGTCCTGATGGTCCTGATGGTTCTGATGGTTCTGATGGTCCTGATGGTCCTGATGGTTCTGATGGACCTGGTGGTTCTGATGGTCCTGATGGTTCTGACGGTCCTGATGGACCTGATGGACCTGATGGTTCTGATGGACCTGATGGTTCTGATGGTCCTGATGGTTCTGGTGGTTCTGATGGTCCTGATGGTCCTGATGGTTCTGATGGTTCTGATGGTTCTGATGGACCTGATGGTCCTGATGGACCTGATGGTTCTGATGGTTCTGATGGTCCTGATGGTTCTGATGGTCCTGATGGTTCTGATGGTTCTGATGGATCTGAAGGTTCTGATGGTTCTGATGGTCCTGATGGTTCTGATGGACCTGATGGTCCTGATGGTTCTGACGGTTCTGATGGTCCTGATGGACCTGATGGTTCTGATGGACCTGGTGGTTCTGATGGTCCTGATGGTTCTGACGGTGCTGATGGTTCTGATGGTCCTGATGGTTCTGATGGTCCTGATGGTCCTGATGGTTCTGGTGGTTCTGATGGTTCTGATGGTTCTGATGGTCCTGATGGTCCTGATGGTTCTGATGGTCCTGATGGTTCTGATGGTTCTGATGGTCCTGATGGTTCTGGTGGTTCTGATGGTCCTGATGGTCCTGATGGTTCTGATGGTTCTGATGGTTCTGATGGACCTGATGGTTCTGATGGTTCTGATGGTCCTGATGGTTCTGATGGTTCTGATGGACCTGATGGTCCTGATGGTTCTGAAGGTTCTGATGGACCTGATGGTCCTGATGGACCTGATGGACCTGAAGGTTCTGATGGTTCTGATGGTTCTGATGGTTCCTCTGCCCAGGGAAGCAGCTGCTGCCGCTGTCCTGCAGCCTCCACGCCGGGGTCAGCCAGCTGCTGGGACCCCCTGCGGGTCCCGGGGTCCCGGCCGGTCCGACAGGCGGCGCAGGAGACGGGAACAGCCTGGTCCGGATGAGGAGCCAGGTTCTGGGCCAGTCGGCGCCTTCGCTCAGCGGACTGGTCAGTACCAACCCAACGGGTCCTGTGTGTGTGTGTGTGTGTGTGTGTGTGTGCGCGTGCGCGTGTGTGTGCGTGTGTGAGGACTTTATCAGGCTCTGTTGATACTCCGGCCACTAGGGGGCAGCACAGTTCACATGAGCCGTCAGGCTGATCAGGATGAAAGCAGAAAAACTTTCTTAAACCAAAGTTCAGCTCATTAAAGTTTAAATCTGTTATTAAGTCTTAAAACTCGTCCCAGTGAATCATTCAGTTTCTCTGATTGAGTTAAAAACTGAACTTGAAACTGTTTTGAGCTTTAAAATGGTGAAATGAGCTGCAACAGATTGAAAGTTGTAGTTCAGTTGGTTAATTTGCTCCATGATGATAAACGCTGCTGGGCGCCACCAGCAGGGGGCAGCAGAGGCCAGGCTGACCTCCAGCACATCCAGTCAGACTCATGTTTCCTCTGCTGGGATCTGGCTGCAGATCAGCTTTTAATAACTTTTAATCAATTGATCAGGTTTATTTGTTGGCACTTTGAACCAACAGCTCAGCAGAAAAACTGATTCATAAACATCCAGTCAGAAAACCAGCAAGCAGTTCTGCAGAGGACTGGTTTAAACTGGTTCCCAGTTCCAAAGCTCATTACATCCTGACTGGTCGCCATAACTAACGGTTATTATGTTAAACAATAACATTGGTGCTTCGGCATGATTTAAACTGGTTTGAGGATTTGAACTGGTTTCAGTGGAACAGTCTGTTGGGTTTCTACAGTTCTCCATCCTCCTCTTCCTCTCTGGAGAGGTGGAGAAACTTTTGACATCTTTAGTGCGTTTGTCAGACATGTTCTCCTGTTGTTCCCATTTTGAAGAGTGAGATCAGTTTCTGTTTTGAGCTTCACATCTCGTCAGAATCTGGACCAAAACCTTTAGACCAAAGCGGCCGATCTGGCGACTGCAGCGACTGCAACGACTGCAGCGACTGCAGACGCAGATGGTTGATGCTAAACACATCCAGCCCATGTCTAGCTGCAGCAGCGGCAGCCCATGTTTAGCTGCAGCAGCAGCGGCAGCCCATGTCTAGCTGCAGCAGCAGCGGCAGCCCATGTCTAGCTGCAGCAGCAGCGGCAGCCCATGTCTAGCTGCAGCAGCAGCGGCAGCCCATGTTTAGCTGCAGCCCAGTTTTCTCTCCTGGTTTCTCCTCAGTGTCTCCAGGCTGACTCAGCGTTTTCTGTCACAGAGGAGGAAGAGTTTTAGGAGCTTTGTCCTCCTCTTCCTCAGCCGCTGCTCTTCATCAGAGGTCGAATTGCTAAAATGGAGGCTTCAGCAGCAGGCAGGAGCTGCTGATCACAGCCGAACCTTCAGATCATTATTTTACTAATTGAGTGACTGGTTCTGCAGATGCTACTAAATACTAACGACACACAAAAATAACATTTAAATTAGAAAACTATTTAATTCATTTTAAATAGGATGAATTAAACATTTTATTGCCAGAAATGCAGTAACAGAAAATGCTGATTCTCTACTTAAATCCTTCTGACTGCTACAAATAAAACTAGAAATATTGACTCTAAAAATAATTACATCTCACACCATCAATCTATTGCTGAGCTTTTTCATGTGACAGACCTGCAATAAAAGCTGCACAGTTCTTTTCACACAGCTTGCCAATATTAGCCAACAGCTGCAGCAAACAAACGATGTCTGATGCATGGACTGCAGCGGAAAGCTCAATCTGCTCTGCCTTGTGGTTTAGTTTACGTGTTTCTACATTTTTTATTGTTGTTTTTATGGTACTCTGTTTTGTTACTCTTTGTCTTTCTTCGTAGCTAAAAAACGCTTAGCTTAGCTTAGCTTAGCATACAGCTAATAGTCAAGAGCGTAGCCATTAGCGGAAGTAAGAGGGTTGTTTTGTAACTCAGGACAAGTTTCTTTGGTGAATCGATGATTTGTAGAGATCAGCTGATATTTTCACTGACAGAACAAAACATACAGGAAGAAAACATTTTGTTACTTGATGAACTTTATGCTCACAAACTGCAGCTGTTCCCTCCCTGCTTCTGCCACCCGTCTTAGGAATCATGACGATTTCAGATCTTCCTTTTCTTGATGGACCACAAAGTTTTTACGACGTAACAAAATATGACTCAAAATTATTTGCATAATATTTATGTATCTAAAATATTCAAAAGAAAATCTAACTTGGGATTCTGAAATATTTTAAAGAAATGCTAGCTGAAGCGCTAATAGCTGGAGTTTGTACGCAGCCAATCCAGGAGCTGGATTTGTTTTCCTTGAAGCTGATTGGCTGAACACCAAAGAGCAGATAAGGCAGACTGAGATGTTAGCTTCTGCGTTAGCGCTGACAGTTTCCACCCTGTGTATTAAAGCATGTTGAGGTTAATTTGGGGTTTAAACTAATAAGTTATGAGCATTTTAGAAGAGATCTTAAATACTTTAGGTATTTTATGCATTTGATTGTGATTGATTGCTGTGGGTCTGTTGGAATGTGATGTTGCCAATAACAAGCAACTCGTCCAATCAACAGTTTGCTGCTGACAGTTGACTGTAAATGATTTATATGCTTCACAAACAAACTGATTCTGGTTTATTTATTTTTACGGTGAGGAGGTTCAGGTTTTGCACTTTAAGTCCGAGTCTGATTTACTGACAGAACGGTGAGCTGGGTTCTGCAGAGACCGCTGGGTTCTGCAGAGACTACTGGGTTCTGCAGAGGTCCAGTTCGGATTTCTCCAGGAATGGTGCAGTGAGGCGGGAAGCTGCCTCCCAGTGTGGTGGGTATTTAAAAGTCCGGTTTTTCTGCTGGAGGCGGATGGAGCATGGAGCTCAGTGTCATTCTGGCCCCAGATGGCACCAGAACCACCCACCGCTAAATAGCAAGCTAAATAGCCTCTAACTAATCTGAATTTAGTTAGCTATGCTAGCTAAGTATTTAGCTTCAAACAAAACATTTTATTTATAATTAAATATCTTGAAAATGAAACATTTAACCTCCAAGCTAATTATTTCATTTGCTCACAACATATTTAGTTTCCAGATTAGCTAAATTTAGTTTGAAGCTAAATATGTGGCTTCTTAGCCACATATGCAGTTGAGAGCTAAAAAATGTATTTGGAAGCTAAATGTCTAAGTATTTATTTGGAAGCTGAACATTTTGCTTCTTACTAAATATTTAGTTTGCTAATTACGAGTTTTTTAAATGATTGGTGTTAATTTTTAGGTTTGTAACTTTATAGGCTCCATGCAGCTTGTTCCATCTTTAACGTGATGCTTGTCCTTTAAATCTCTAAATGTCCGGTTTACAAGTCATTCCTGAATGGACCGCCTGCTGCTGGTTCTGCCTCAGGCAGCTGGATTTGGACCTCAGAACCAGACGGGTCACATTCCGCTTCGGCCTGTTTTTGGTTCGTTAGAATCTGATTCTGTTTGAGCTGAACTCAGAATAATCTGGATTATCCGGTGGATAAAATCTGCCAGATTTCTTGTTTCCTGTTCAACTGGAAGAGTCGGACCTGGTCGGAACGCCAAAGTGAAACTGATTCAGCATCAAGATAAAATAAAAGTCCTGCAGCCGGGAGCGCGTCGATGTGCTCAGACTCATGTTCCTCCTCTGCAAGTCGCGGTTCACTTCATGCTGGAGGCCAGGAGTCTGACGGGTCCAAACGGACCCGACTGCTGGAAACACGGACCGCTGTGTGAGGCAGAAGAAACAGGATTTCCTGATTTCCCTTTGAATGAGGTGAAACCTGTTGACTGGGTTCGTGTGGCGTTGGCTGTCACGATAACAAACGTTTCTGGACAATAAGTCGCCCAGAAATTATTGCAATAAACGATAATGTTGTTGTTTTGAGATCATTTTGCAGTAATATGGTGGTAACTGGACTATAGCACATTCTCCACTATCAGTAAACTTTACATCCTAATAAACATCAAGAAAATAAATGTAAAGGAAGAAAGAAAATGTTTGGAGACTTTGATCTTCCAGGTGTTTGTAGGAAGAAAACGATAAATGATGCAGATGGAAACGACTGAGCTCATGTTAGTTAATGAAGCGACTGATTGATTTATTGATTATTGCCACAGTTGGTCGGTTCTGGAGGTCCGATCTGCTCAGCTTGGTTCTGGACTTTAAGCTGCTTCAGTCGCTCTTCCTCTGACCATGTGAGCATTCCTGTCTCTGACCCCAGTGACCTTTGCCCTCATTAACACCGACGCTCTGAGCGGGGAGGGGCGCTGATGGGTTCGTTTCCCTCGGACCGGGCCGTGAACAGAACCGGTCTGAGCAGAGCAGAGAGGAGGAGTCTGGAGCAGCTGCTGTTGGAAGACTTTTTAAGTCAGGACCCGACGCTTTTTTAAGCGTCGGGTCCTGACCTGGTGACGCCCCCTGCTGGCCTGGAGGAGTTCTGCTCTGCAGGGTTTGATTCTTGCTGCTGGTTTTGCTTCATTTCTCCGTTTTGCTTGATTGCCTGATTGCAGCATTTTTCTGTTGCACTTGTTTTGTTTTTGTACTTTTCATGATTCGTGTTTGCAGCTCGTTTCGCCGTTTACTTTGACTTTGCAGCTGCCAGCCATCATGGAGAAAGATTTCCTGTCAGCTTTTGCTCAGTGGAACATCCAGAGTTCACCCTGGAGGGCCGTTCTGCAGAACCTCAGTTATTCTTTACTTTCTTATCATAAATGTACCCATAAATACATAAAATGTCATTTAAATCACCTGTGAAGTACATAATTCAGAGACTGAGGTCCAGACAAATATAATACGTCTGCAGATGGAGAGCAAAAATCCACTGCGTTAGGCGAAAATCAAAATCTGCTCTAACAAACTCAGAGTTGCATAGTTGCTTCATTCACCTCTCTGCTAATAGAGACTCAATCTGCTAGGACCAAACAAACGAAACAAAGGAAAGCAGACGGAACAGTTCAACCTCATTCACTATCATGTCTACGGGATGTAAAAACTAAACACTCTGTCTCCATGCAGGGAAAAACAGCAAGTTC